ATATTTGGTCACCCATAAGTGGAGGCTGCTGGCGTATAAAAAGATTATTAATGACAACATACTAAAAGACAGTGGTAATAATATAAAATATGTTTTCATTTGAGAACTTTAAATTGTTGATTAACACTGCACATGAATAATCACTTAAAATTTCATTATATGTGCTTACAGTCACATTATAGTGTGTATTAAATCATTTATTAAATGTCTGTATACGGTATGTATCATATATTATGTTTATCTTAATAAAACACTCACAGATCACACAGGTGCTGAGATCAACAGGCTGCATTACTGCGGTTTATGAATTCAACTAGTGTCATGTGACCAAGTCAGTGACGTATACGGAAGTACCGGTCAAAACACGGATGCTCCATGCTTCCATAGAAAGTAAGTACAGAAAGATGATTTTAAAAACCTTTGCATCGCTATTAGACTTTAATTAGGAAATTAATTTAAATGAACGCCTTTTAATTATGAATTTAAGTAGCAGATGTGTTTAACAGCGATGACGACAAGCTGTCAGATTATAAATATGAGCCGTGTTAGAGGTAAAGTAGGTTTATTATGAGTTATTATTTAATGTTAAGAGGAGACACACTCCGTCAGGTTATCACCACACACGGCTTCTGTTATTTAGATATGTCACATACATTTTATTTTAAGATAGTGCCGATAATAGGTGGGTTAACAGGATACATAAACAAGAACTATAATCAGTAAAAGACCAAACTAAATTAGTTCTTCATCTACATTTGTCTTTTGAAAACATATTATTTTAGAATTCATTTGCTCAGCTTGTTTTAATCTGAATTTTTACTGCAGTTAAATTGTGACTCTTTATAATTTTAGTGATTTTAAATTGATGAAATTATCTATTATTTTTCATTCATTATTATTGATTGATTTACTGTTTAATTGTGTTGGGACGCAAAACTCAACAATAACATAGGAACAATACAGAGCAAATCATATCAAACTTTATTTATATAGCACCTTTCATACAGTCATGCAGCCCAAAGTGCTTCACAGAGCTGCAGTAAAACAGCACAGAAAAAGTAACAAGTGAATAGCTAGACATTACAACAACAAACAATAAAAAATAACATTTAAAACCACAGATAAATGCAAAGAAAAGGTAGAAAATGCCAAAGATGACACTTAAAATCAGAGGCAATAAATGATGAGGCATCATAAAGTAAAAGCCAAGTGAAAGCCCCACGGTTTCTTTGAGGTGGAGATCCTCAGATGCTCAAGTACACTGTTCCATAGACTTGGGCCACAGTGGTTAACAAGACATAAGCAATGTACAAATAGATACAACTTACAAACAATAATACGATAAAATTACAGTAAAAGTCAAGGACAAGCATCACATAGACCATGACCTCTTAAAAAGTGTTTCAGCTTGAGTTAACAATGATCACAGGCATGATTTATTTTGAGTTGTTTTGGTATTATTATTATTATTATTAATGTTATTAAAAATGCCTTTGTTCTGTGGGACTAAACTGCTGCAAAGAAGTGTCTTTCTCATGTGATTATAGGCCACAGTGTAATCAAGCTTTAACCATTTATCGATTTTCAGTCTCATCCAATCAACCTCAGAGGCTCCAGACTGTAACCACATCTGTCTGCAGTCCCCTACGACAGCTCATCAGTCATGATTAATTTGCTTTTCTCCTATTGATTGGATATTTTTCTTTGTGCAGATTGAAGAAATGTCTGTTTTTCCGAGGATTTCTCTGAACCCTGAAGTCACTGATTATCTGCAGAGTGTCTTCTTAAACAAGGAGGTAGGAATTGAAATGATTGCTCTCTTCTGGAGAATCATAAATGCGCATCATGAAAATAAATGTCTTTCTCTCTTTCAGTGCAAAGACACTTGCTGTGCATTCCAGTATCCATACTACCATACTGTATAGCATGTCCCAATACAGTACATAGTATTTCAAATGCAGTGTGCCATAAGCACCAGGATGTTCGATTATATTCAGTCAGATTTTGCAGTATGCATGCTAGCATGCTTTTTCTGGCTATTCTGACCCACAATCCTTTGCACAGTGAAAGATACGTCACATTGACTGTCAGAAGTCACACTGATGGATGACTTCAGGTGACTGATGACCAGTCCATTAGTAATAACAGGAATATTAATTGTTTAATTGAATAAAATAATCACAAATATAACCAACAACAAAAGAGCATAACTATTAAATAACAATGACAGAGAAATTCACAGCCTCTGTAATTTTACTATCATGAATATAATATGTGTGCATTTATTACTTATTGCTAAGTAACAACATCAGAGCTGTCAAGGTTGACCCCGTCTCTGGTGAGCTAAGTAAACGGCATTATATCTCCAATGTAATGGATGGATATATGAGTAAGAGGGTCAAAGTTCAGGGCGTAATGTTATGAGACAATAGTATGTCCCAGCTATGTGCATACTGCATGTAACAGTACATACTTTTTAAGGGCACCTGCAGTACATACTAAAGGTAAAAAGAAAAGGTATGCGATTTAGAACGCACAGAGAGAGGATGCGGGAACCTTCACGGCGTAGCTTAGATTTGAGATAAACTGATGCCATGATTACAAAATCCCGCTGTAAAACCCTCCCTAAGACAGTTTTGGCTTTTAACCAAAATGATGATATCATTTTCAGGGAAATTTATCTCCCCACACAATTGTTTGAATTGTCTTTAATTGCCTGTTTGGCCCAAAAACAGACATATGTAATGATACTGACTCTGAGAAACACCAGAATCAGCCCTAAAAAACACATTATTGTGTGATTTGTATGAAGTAAACTGCAGATGTGCTTGATGTCCTCAGTAGCAGCTGTGGGCCTGGGAACTATTTATTAATGCTGTTTAATCTGGTGACCTGAATGATGTTAATTCAAGTGAAAGTAGTGTTATAATAATAATAATGATCTTTATTTACAAAGCACTTTTTTAAAAACAGAGTTACAAAGTGCTTTACATGTCAGTCATTAAAAAAACAAGACATGAAAACATCAACTGAAAAAACTGATAAAAAACACTTGAGTATATTAAAACAGAGGAAATATAAGACACTCTAAATGAACTTAAAACTCAAGTAAAATCAAGAAAGGCTCTCCGATAAAAGTATGTTTCAAGAAGGGACTTAAAACAGATCACTGACTCGGCCGACCTGATTTCCACAGGCTGACAGCAAATGCTCCGTCCCTTTTAGTTTTCAGCCGGGCCTCTGGAACAGACAAAAGACCTCTGCCGTCCAAGTACCACAAAGTACGTCCTGGCGTGTACGGCATATAGCTGGGAGAGAGACCATGAAGAGCTTTGAAAGTAATCACTAAAATCTTAAAATCTATTCTAAAACACACTGGGAGCCAGTGTAAAGAGGCTAAAACTGGAGTGATGTGATCACGTCTCATGGTTCTGGTTAAAAGCCCGGCAGATGAATTCTGTACAGTCTGCATTTGATTAAAAGATTTTTGATTCAGGCAAGAAAAGAGGCTGTCGCAGAAATCCAAGCGTGAAGAGATGAAGGTGTGTAATATTGTCTCTGTCTTTAAAAGTTAAGATGGATCATATTTCTGAAATATTTCTAAGATGAAAAAACCTGATTGCACAAGCTTTGTGACGAGCTGCTCAAAACTTAAATTACTGTCAAACCAGACTCCAAGATTTCTTCCAACAGGTTAGCTATGATCCAATGGGGGACCAGCCAAAGGCAGAATTTCATGTTAATATACTGTGAGGTTGCTTTTTGGGGTATTCGCCAAATTTGAAAGGCTGAAACTTGAAATCAGTGAAGTTCCTGTTTAACATTATTTTTTTCATGTCATCACGATCATGTTCAGGTGTTGGCTGCAGTCGGCCATCAGGAGGCAGAGAGTCGTTTCCAGAAGCTGCTCACGTGCCTGTCTCACCCTCCCTTGTACACTTGTGTGCGGGTCAGCACTCATCTCGCCTCCCTGGAAGAGATCAGACACAAGTTAGGAGACGAGCTGAGAAAGGTGAGAGCGACAGACAGGAAGTTACCCACAGTGGTGGTCACTGGAGTCCTAATCATTCAGTGTGTTATTGTTGTTGTTGAAGCAGCAGCTGTGTGGCTCATCAGCAGACGAGATCTCCGTTCAGATTCTTCCTCACCCGCAAATTCCAGATGTGCTGCTTCTTCCCGTCGATGGCCCGAGGTATGTGAGGAATGCTGGAGCAGTGTCTGTATCTGCTCTATGGCGTACACACTTAGCCTTAAATTGCAGGATCAGTCCGACCACTGGGCGAATGTTTCCTGAGGCCGAACCCACATGGAATGTCAGCCAATGACGACAGAATGAAAAAAGAGATTTCCTTTTTTTTTTTTTGGTGCGCATTCAGGTTTGTTTTGATCCAAAGAGATAAATACAGTAATGGCACAATAAAAGATCTGTTTTGGGGTTACATGGTGGTGTTTTCGCATAGGAGTCCCCCTTTATCTTTAATAATAATAATACCATAATAAAATCGTTAAAAGCTAAACTAAAAACTGGATAAAGTAGATTAAAAGAACAAAATAAAAAGATTAAAAAGATATAAGAGGGCTAAAACAATTACAATAATAAAATAACAGATAAAACAAAATAGAATAAAAATGTAAAACATGTATAAGTTCAATGAAAAAGGTGATAAAATTATGCAAATGTGTATAAACCATTCCTAATCAAAAGCCCTGCTGAATAGGCAGATTTTATGTTTATATTTAGAGATCTCAATACTTCCAGCAGCTCTCAGGAAGTTAAGATATGCTGTATCTCTTGAGTATCTAGGCTCTGCTACAGTCAAGGACATCCAATGTGTTTATAAAAGTGTGACCTCCCTCTGTCTCGTCTTCTCAGACCTGTGCAGCAGCTAAGCTCAGAGGTGGTGGTTGGAGCTCAGTGTGGCAGTGCCGTACTGAGAGGTGCTCATGTCTTTGTCCCAGGGATCCTCGGCAGCCCCAAGTGTGAGTGACACAAAGACAGATGCTGTTACAGTCGATTAAAATACAAATTTATTTTGTTGGTCGTGGTTATCTAACATGACTTTGTGTCTTTATTTGTGCACAGACATGAAGGCAGGAGATGCGGTGTCTGTCGTCTCTGACCTGGAGGGTCGGTGCACCCGAGGATCCTCAGACTTTCAGGGAAAGAAAGTGTTTGTGGGGAATGGAGTCGCTCAGATAGACCGCTCTGACATCTTCTGCACAGATAAACCTGCCAAGTAAGTGGAGTTTTTTATTATTATAATGATGTGTGGACAGGACTGACACAGCGTCCTGATGTTAAAGGAATACTTCCCCCACAAAATGATCATGAGTACATGAATTACTCATCACGTGATACATTGAATTATTGAAGAAAACTTTGTCTTCTTGCATGTCTCTACAGTGAATGTAGAATCCAAAAACAGAAAATTCTTGAATGAACTGAAGTCATCAGGGGCTGCATACGCTATATAGAAATGTCTGTTTACAAACTCAGTAGTGTAATCTGTGTCATTTTGGCTCAAAACTTAGCATTCAAAACACTTTTGCATAAACCATCTCATGTACAGACAGGTGGTGCACCTCTGCAACTCAAGAAAATGCACATGCAGAGTTCAAACACACACACACACACACTGGCCCGGACATGCAGCCTGTATGAAAGTGATATAAAATAGAAGAAGAAGATATACTTTATTAACCCCTGAGGGGAAATTCATTATTTGAATACACACACGCACAAACAGGACCTATACATGCATTAAATGGAGAGATATAAGGCCAGGTGGCTCTGACATCTTTGATAGGCACCCTGAGCAGTCTGGAGTACAGTGCTTTAGTCAGGAACACCTGGCACTTCTCCAGCTGCCAGTCCATGCCCCATACTTCGCCCGTATGGGGACTTGAACTGGTGACCCACCAGTTCCCAACCTAAGCCTTTATGGTCTGAACTACAGCTGCTCTGATTGGTATTGGATTGTAAGATTTTAGTAAAAATGCTTGTGTTTGGGAGGTGCTGAGCATTCGATGGATAAATGAGACTTGGATCACACTGCAAGAGTTTGTAAACAGATGCTCTGATATAGTTTTTCTCTTGTTAAATGAGGCCCCCCTTTACCCCAGTTTATCAAGAATTTTCTTAGTTTTTGGATTCTTCGTTCCCCGTGGAGGCATGTGAGAAATTCAGCGTAATACAAGATGAGTGATAAACAAATGGTCATTTTGTGGATGAAGTATTCCTTTAAGTAGTTATTAGCTTCAGTGTAATATGAGAAGGATAATGTGAAAGTGATGTGACACAAAACAGGTGCTCTTGATGCAGAGATAGGTCGTCACTGTCCACAAAACAAGACAATGGTCTATCACTCACATCTCCCCCTGGGTCAAATTGGTGATTGTCTGGCCTAAAATGAAAAGAAAAACATGTATTCAGTCCTTGTCGTCTGTTATTCTAGAGGAATAGGTGTTCAGATGGTGGAGCCACTTTATCACAGTCCTTCCTTCGACGGTGTTCTACCCGACCTGGTGTTCCTGCAGGTATTTATATTATCAGAATGTATAACAAAGTGATTATGTGTATTGTTCCCTCTACTGCTGCACTGGTTCAGTTTGTGTTTAGCCACTTTACATTTGTTGTCTTGTCATGTTGTACAGAACCTTCCCTCTGTGGTTGTGGGACACGTTCTTGGGCCTCGTCCTGGAGAACGGATCCTGGATATGTGTGCTGCGCCCGGAGGGAAGACCTGCCACATTGCTGCGCTCATGGGGGATCAGGTACAAGTTGTACAGTCAGCTGCAGATGTTTGCTGCAGAATCCAGTCATAAAGAATACATCTCACATATCAGGCTGTATCAGCAGTGGTTCCCCAAAATGGAGTATTTTTACATAGCTGTATTGAAGTAAAGGATCTGAATACTGTATAGCTGATGCTTTTTGTGCCTTGTCTGTCTCACACAGGGTGAGGTCTTTGCTCTGGACAAGATCAGAAGTAAGATCGATAAAATTCGTCAAAACGCCCAAATGTTGCAGTTACGTTCCATCAAAGTTTACTGCTTTGACAGCGCTAAAGCTGTGAGCAGTGACTCGGGACAGGACGCTCAAGGTACAGAGTGACAGCAGGGTCACATAAATATACATATATATGATGCCAGGACTCTGTGTATATATGAAGCACTTGTGTTTCTGAACGTATCGCAGGACCTCCCTTCCCTCCTGAAAGCTTTGACCGGGTTCTGCTGGACGCCCCCTGTAGTGGACTCGGACAGAGACCCAACATGTCCTGCACCTGGAACCTGAAGGAGATCTGCTCCTACCAGCCACTGCAGCGCAAGTTATTCCATGCGGTAGGTTTTACCACACAGATTAAAGCATTTAACACATTTCTTTCCCTCACATCACAGTGACAGTAGCTTATGTTGACCAGTAGATGGCAGCATTGTGTAACTGTGACACTGCTGTGTGATTAACCAGCTTGAATTCACATATTAAAGGGAGAATACACCTCAGAATATTTAAGGAAGTTTTTTCTCATCTTTTCCTTGTAAATTTGATCATCAAGAGACTTTTTAAAATTCATTGCACTGATGCTGTACAATAGAAACTTTTCTATGCTTCTACACTGACCTTGGTGTTAAAAAAACTTACACATCGTGTCCACAGTAGCTGGTTAGTTTTGCAAAACAGCTCCAGAAAGTATTTCTGCTTCTACCTTCAGCAGTAGTCACACTGTTTTTTCATTACTTGTTATACAAATATGCATAAATGTAAGCTAAAGCCAATACAGAGCTCCATCAGTGTCCACCAGCATTTCCTCAAAGTTATTCAGCATCTAGACTGAAGAAAGACTCATTTTTGGCAGATATCTGTCACCTTTATAAAGCACATACTAACAGAAGTAAAAGGTCCAATCTGTAGGATTTAATGGCATCTAGTGGTGAGGCTGCAGAACTCAAAACTTCTATGTACCGTACTGTGGCTGATGCAAAAACAGGCATGGCCCTGTCTGAAGCCGGTGTTTGGTTTGTCTGTTTTGGGCTGCTGTAGAGCAGCATGGTGGCCTTTATGGATCAGGACTCGCTTCCTATATACATATATATAGCTCATTGTAAGGTAACAAAAACAGGTGGTGGTGATTATACACTAATAAAGACATAATTAAGAATATTTCACACCATTTCTGCCAGTAGTTACCCCTAGATCCTACAAACGGGACCTTTAAACCCGCAATGGACTCTTTGGCCACTTGGGGTCAGCAGAAATAATTTGTTATCAAAATATTGACACATCATCAATATTAAAGTTGATATGGAAAACCTGTTAGTCAAGAGTTTCACATTTACACATCCAGCAGTTAAGGAAAAACATTCAGTTTCATTTGTTTGGACTCTGGATTTTTGAGCACTTGGTTAATTTAAGTCCAACAGTCAACCCTCCTTTAGCTCTTTTTAGAACTCCACTGTGTTCACTAGCTAGTCTCTTACTGTGATGGTAAACAGTTAAAGTTTGCTGCTGAGTAGGTATCACACACTGGCTTTATAAAGGTTCAGTGTGTAAGATTCAGGGGTATTTGTGGTGTCTAGTGGTGATCTGAAGATTGCAACCAGCTAAAAACTTCTGCCAGCCAGAATTCCTTCAGTGTTAATTGTTCAGAAAGTTTTTATCAGGAGCCGAATTATCCACACAGGTCTCTTCTTCTCCAAAACAAACGGACCAGGTACTTAGAATTGCTAAAAATACTGAATCAAACAGTTTCACGTTACAAATCAATGCATCTCGGACGCTATTCGGCATCTTGAGACTCACCCACAACATGCTATTGTGTGCTCACCCCTTTTCTCTCATAAGTTAATGTTTGCTCACCTTTGTCTGATCCAGACGTTCAGGAGGTTTTTACCATAACCTGTATTATCCACAGAGGTCTGTTCCTATCCAAAACAAACAGACCTGGTAAAACACAGAATAATGTAGTTTCACTTTATAAATCCATGTATTTCTGATGCAGTCTGGCATGTCACTGGAGCCGGCTAGTCCAACACATGCTAATGTGTGGTCACCTTTTTTCTTAGATAACGTAAGATCCAAACATTCAAAAGGTTTTCATCAGAAGCCGAACTATACCCAAAGGTCTCTCCCTTAAAAACAAAACAAATGGACCAGGTGACTGAAACTGGTAAAAACACTGAGTAAAGCAGTTTCACGTTACAGATTAGTGTAACTCCGGTGCTGCAAATTGCATTTGGGCTTCTTACTTCTTACTGGTTTGTCCATTCTGGGCTACTGTAGAAACATGGTGATCTCTATAAATGAAGACCTGCTCCCTATGTACATATAAACGGCTCATTCTAAGGTGAGAAGAACATAACAATTCTTATTTTCAGGTGATTATACACTAAAGAAAATATACTAATTTCTGCCAATATATCCCCTAAATCCTACACACTGGACCTTTAAGGGGGATTTAGTGGCATCTAGTGGTGAGAAGTGCAGATTGCAACCAGCTGAAATTTCTCCTGGTTAGAATTCCTTCATGTTCATTGTTCAGGAGGTTTTTACCAGGAGCTGAATTATCTACAGAGGTCTCTTCCTCTCCAAAACAAACAGACCATGTGATTCAAACCAGTAAAAACACTGAATAAAGCAATTTTGTGTTAAAAAAAACCAAACATTTTTCCGGCACTGGTCATTGTGAGGGGCTGCTAACTATGATGGACGAGGCCAAAATGTGAATGGCCCTATCTAGAGCCAGTGTTTGGTTTTTCTGTTATTAATTACAGCTGATTTAATAAAAAGGTTTTTGTTTGTTGCAGGCAGTGCGGTTGCTGAAGAAAGGCGGGGTTCTTGTTTACAGCACCTGCACAGTGACTCTAGCAGAGAATGAGGAGCAGGTAGCCTGGGCCCTCAGCACCTTCCCCTGCCTCACACTTAAGCCTCAGGTATGACACCTCAGCCTCGTGGACAGACTCACAAATATGTATTGAGATGTTTGGAAACCTCACCACATCACGCTCTCGTTTCCAGGAGCCTCACATCGGCGCAGAAGGCATGCTGGGAGCCGGCCTGTTACCTGAGCAGCTGCGACTCCTCCAGAGGTTCAGTCCCGAGCTGAGCTGGGATCAGACAGAGACTCCAGCAGCCGCCCTCCCCCGCAGAGCCGACGGGGACACTATCGGCTTCTTTATTGCCAAGTTCCTGAAAAACTGACCAGAGGGCATGTTTCCTCTTACGGCACCATGAGCTCTCACACGAGAACGCAGACGGGAACAATAGTGTTTATATTACCACACTGTGTGTGCTTTGACGGGGCAGTGTTGACAAAGACGCTCACTGCGCTGTTTACAGCATCTGCCTCTTAACAGCTGCTCTCAGAAACTGCGGGCCATATAGGGATAAGCTTTATAAACACCCAGGGCAGGAGAGAGGAGAGTGCACGGGAAAGAGAGGGAGGGAGGGAGGGGGAGAAAGGGAGGCACGTGGGGATGGAGACTGAATGAGTATTGGCAAATGCAGCAGTGCTTGCATCGCCATAACAACAGTGACGACACAGCTGCCATGGTGACAGTGGATTCACTGGATCTCAGAGATCAGGAAGTAGCGTGCAGAAAGAGGTCATGAGAGGTATTAACAATTTGACTTGATTTTTGACAGACTTGTCCAGCCTGTGTGAGAGACATGATGCTGCATGGAGCTCATCCAACAGGAGGAAATTACAGTTTTTCAAAATAAAAGTTCCTTTAAAATAAGATTCTTCTCTCTTCATGATTGTTAAATATTAAACAAGTCGTCTGATTACACTCATGAGACGTTGGTTTGAATACAAATTACATTACTTGAACACAATAAAAATAATGGTCGTCCATTAAAGCTGCTGAATTTATAGACTTGTGCCGACGGCGCACAAACATCTGGCCCGTTCTCCCATCATGCAGCATTTTGAGGACCTTCACAATGACCTCAGCTCAATCCCTCTTCACCATTAGACTCTTCTTAGTCCCTCCACCCACACATCTGTCTGGAAACGCACACCACCTCCCTGCATCTGTGCATTTCACCGTATGCAAACCACCCATTATAATGGCCGCTCTTTTCTGAGATCAGATCTCTGCGAACGCTTGTTTTTCTATTTTGGGGGCGTCTGTGTGTGGAGAAGCTATTTTAGATGCATCCCCTCAGTATTGTCATTCATGTCGATGTTGTCATGACGACTCAGGAGGCAGCCCGATGAGTCTACCTCAATTTTTCAGCAGAGTTTCAGACTATTTATAGGCACCGCTCTCCTCCTCTGTCTGGGTCCCCTGACAAAGCACACATCAAATCCTTCTCCCCCCTCGTCAGTCCTTTGTTTCCAACTTTATTCTTTATATTTATGCATTATGTACATACACATGTACACTGTTAGAAAATCTGTAGTGCTACCAACGTAGCATAGAAATGGAGGAGATCCTGTAATTACAATTGTCAGGCAAAATCAAAGGGAGTGAAGGGACGGGGTGGGTTTGTAAACAGAGGGGCAGCTCAATTCAGATCTCAGTATCATTAATTAACACATGAAAAGTTGACTCTTAAAATAGATCCTGTTGGTCAGGAGAGTGATGGTAAAAGACAAAACTATCTTTGTCTGGTAAACATTTGAATTCTGTAGTGAGGAACCTACTGAGTGAAGAAGAAATCCTAAAATGAACATTCTTAACGTGGGAATTAAACAACATTCGTTAGAAAAAAAGGGTTCAGACTTAATAGAAAGATGAACCTGGATGGAGTTTTGGTAGTAGACCTATCAGTTAGGTTGCAATGTCTTATCAAATTTCACTTTAAACCAACGTGAATCAGAAAAAAGTGCAGAATAAAGGGTGTATCAATGTTATAAAATGTTTCTGGACCCATACAAAGAGAACAGTACTGCATGTAAGAGAGGAAGTTGTCATAGAACTTGTTCGTCTTGGAAAGCAAGACTAAGGTGCACCTCAAGGGAGGCTTAAATATGTCTGAACCAAATTTTTAAAACCATGGACGCAGAATTTTAAAAAGGAACTAAGCAGTAAATGATGAACATAAAATTGGGGGAGTGGTCTGACACTTAGGGAAATATGCTCATTAGCCTTCTTGCACACAGTTTGATGGGAAGATAGACACCATTTTTACCACTGTGTTTGGTAAATATGCAGCTAGCGTTAGCAGCTGGATAGCTTACAGTACATTAGCTGAAGTTAAAGGGATAGTTTGGATCTTTTGAAGTAGGGTTGCATAAGGCACTCATCCACAGTCAAGGTATCACCTATGATAGATGTCAGTCAGCACACCCACAGTTTGAAGAAGGAGATAACAGTACCAACATGAAAGCTAAGCAACTGCTTTACGTTGCCGTCAGACAGCAATTTCCGAAGGGGAACTGAAGCCGTTCTATCCCTCTCTTGAAAGCCAGACTCTTGAGATTAATAATACTTTATCACAGCTGAACACAGGAGCTGCTGGTCTACTGCTGCTTCAGGCAATGAGTTTGTGGCAGACACAATAACACAAACAAACTAGTAGACCAACAACTCGTGTGTTAAGTGAGTTTTAGTTGTTCTTCTGTTCTTCTACTGTTCTTCTCAGTGGAGTCTAGTGGCTTTGACGAGAGCGCAGATAAGGAACTGAAGCTGTTCAGGCTTCCACTGTTGGGAAGGTTACAATTGAAATGTATTTTGTTACAGAGTACTAGTTACTTTGTTGAGAATCGAATAAGTAATGTAACTATTTACCCTATTTTACCAATGATATACTCTACATATAAACCTTTTACCGAAAAGAATATGCTGTTTTCAAATATTAACCCTTTGTAATTACCAACATTTTGATTAGTAACTGTAATTTAATACCTTTTTTCAGTAACTATTACTGATTATAACTACATTCATTTTGTAGTTTAGCATGCACTGGGGCAGTTTGCAGCCAAGTGTGAAGCGGGCGGGATGAGAGTCAGCACCTCCAAATCTGAGGCCATGGTTCTCTGCTGGAAAATGGTGGATTGCCTTCTCTGGGTTGGGAGAGAGTTGCTGCCTCAAGCAAGGGCGTTCAAGTATCTCGGGGTCTTGTTCACGAGTGAGGGTAGAATGGAGCGTGAGATGGATCGGCGGTTTGGCGCACCGTCTGCAGCGATGCAGGCACTATGCTGGACTGTCGTAATGAAGAGGGAGCCGAAATGCAAACCTTTTGATTTAGTGGTCCATCTACGTCTCAACCCTCACCTATGGTCATGAGCTCTGGGTGGTGACCGAAAGAATGAGATTGCAGATACAAGCGGCCGGAAAAAGTTTCCTTCGTAGGGTGGCTGGGCTCAGCATTAGAGATAGGGTAAGGAGCTTGGACAACCGTAGGGAGCTCGGAGTAGAGCCGCTACTTCTTCGCGTCAAAAGGGGTCAGTTGAGGTGGTTCAGGCATCTCTCCAGGATGCTTCCAGGGTGCCTCCCAACTGGTAGGAGGCCGCGGGGCAGACCCAGAATATTACATATCTCATCTGGCCTGGGAACGCCTCGGAATCCTCCAGGAGGAGCTGGAAAGCGTTGCTAGAGCAAGGAATGTCTGGAATACTTAGCTTAGCCTGCTGCCCACGCGACTCAGCTTTGGATATGCAGTTGAAAATGGATGGATGGAATTCCATTACCTTGAACTAGTAAGGGCTACTTGACAGGTAAAGCAGTAAAAATATTCTCAATATAGCGTACACTTTTTTTTAGGTGGACTTTTTTAAGTTGTCTAAAATCGATTTTGCTGCTGCCCCCTTCCACAGCATTGCTTAGCTTCCATGTTGGACTCCAGCCTGCTTCTCCAAACTGGAGGTGTGCTGACTGACATCTACTATGGGTTATACACTGTCTATGGATGAGTACCTCTTACAGCTCCACTTCAAAAGATCCTAACAATCCCTTTAAGCCCTGCCGTAAAACCAAAACTTGTGCTTAGACTTAATTTTTTGTACAGACAAAACACGAGTTATAAAGTGTTTTACTTCAGACTAGCTGTTTCTCCTTGTTTCCAGCTAAGCTAAGCTAACAGGTTGCTAGCTGTAGCTTCATATTCACTAAACATACAGTATACAATAAGTATTGATCATCTCATCTAGACTGAGTTGCCAGTTTATCAGGTAGCTAAAACTAAAGCAGTCTAATACTGTTGTGCTGTTTCTATTATTTAGACCAGTGGTTCCCAGCTGGTCCAGATTTCTCCTTAGTTACATGTACAAGGTCCACACAGTTTAATACATTCAGTGTCATACTTGCATTTGGCCTTGTTGTCAAGCTGTCTCTGTCAAGTAGCTGTCTATTAGTCACTTACTCTACAGCAGGAAATAGCACTTCAAAATAAAAGCCCTGGGCTGGAAATTCACTGTACTTCATTCACTGTACTACATAAAGTGTGTTTTTTACAAAGTTGACACATTCGTGATTCACTTGCGGTCCATTCACAATGGACCCGCGACCCACCAGTTGGGAACCACTGATTTAGACCACCCTCACTGATATAGGGTGGACAAAATAATGGAAACGCCTGCCAGTAAAACCATACGTTATATAATCAGATTGCAGTTTGCAAAATGATTCTAAAATTCAATTTCAAGAAAAGCTGAACATTGTGACCTTCATGAAGTCAGGATTTACTGCAGGACTGTTTTCTTAGATTGCATTTGTTTTAGCTACGTGTACCTAATAATCTGGCAACTGAGTGTAACTCTCAGTAAGAAAGCGAATGAGCTTATTTTCCCAAATGCCAAACTCTTGTTTTAAACAAAAGACCTCTGCAAATACAGCATCAAACTAACTTGGTTAGTCAACCGTTGCAGTCAACCCTAGCAGTAGTCTGAAGGAACAAATTATTCAAGTGGTAGCAAGCAAAACAAATTAATAAAAATAAAAATGCTAATCACAGAAAGCACAGCTCAGTACAGAAAATAATTCTGCTTTTGTGTCATGCTTTATCAAACACAGGTTTAAAATATGCATATTTGAGAATATTCATGCATATCCACACATAAACAACGTCTATGCATAGATACACACATACATATATTTATATATTTATATTTGTATCTATGTAATCAAAATCCTGCCATTGAAAAAGATGCAACAGCATTTACAAAGGAAGTGTACATAAATAGGATGCTGTGGTTTCAGGGTATAGCAGCACGATGGGAGAACAGAATGGTTACGAGTCCAGATGAGCTTCAGGAGGGATTTGGTCTGTCACTGGTGGATGTAGGAGTCTCTGGCCCATTCCCCTGCGTCACCCCTCTTTTTGGGAGCCACCTCCCCCTCTCGGTCCCTGTCTCTGTCCCGGTCATAGTAGTGGTGGTGGTGGTCACGTGCTGGCCGGTGGTGGTGCGAGCGCTGTTTGTTCCGTTCATTATGGTCCTGTTCGCGCTCCTTTGAACGGTGGTGTCCTGTGCTGTGGCCAGCCTCGTCCGCCCCACCGCGGTGATGGTGGTGGTGGTGATGGTGGTTGTGGTCCCGGTGGGGCAGTGGCTCGTAACGCTGTTGCTGCTGGGGGTGCCCCTCCCCCAGATCCTCCTCTTCTTCCTCCTCCTCCTCTTCCTCCTCCTCCTCCTCCTCCTCCTCTTCCTGGTGGAGGAGCTGTGTGCGTGGCTCGATATAAGCAGAGTCCTTGCTCTCTCGGCTCTCTCTGCTCTCGGGGGTCTCCGAGTCCAAAGTCTCCTGCCGGGAGAGGCCCCGGGTTCGGTTGGTGTGGTGGTGGTGGTGGTGATGGTGGTTGTGGTGCTCAGTCCTGGTGGAAGACGAACGGTGGTGGATGTGCTGGGCTCTCCTAGAGGACTCTGTCCTCAGAGGCCTCTCCTCCTCATTGCCCTCCCCCTCAGCCTCTGCATCGGCATCAGCCTGGTCCTGGCTCTGGTGGTGGTGGTGGTGATGGTGATGATGGTGCTGGTGATCCTCTCTGGAGCCCTTTCTCTCCACTAATGCTTTGTCTCCTTTCTGCTCAGCACTGCTGCCCTGAGGTCACAAACACATGTCAGTCAGTCAGGTGACAGAAAACAAAAAACTGCACTGCAAACACACAAACACGACTCATGCAGATTAAAATTCACTTCACCCTCGTTGCTTCTGGTGCATCATGTGTTTAAATATACACACACTGGAACACACACTCTGCTTGAATATTCATCAACCATCCACTGAAGGTTAATGAATCCTGGAGGAGGCGGACTTTACAGAAAACTTCAAGGTGTTTGTATTTTCAGTCTGCAGGACCACGGCAGCCTCTGTATCTAAAACACCATTATCTGAGGGCCTCTCCACACTCACCACACTAAATCACATGTCACAAGTCTCACTCCTGCTCCTCATCAATATCAGGCATCTCCTCATTTTCAGTCTTACATTTCCCATTGAGATGGCAGTGGATGGAGAGAGGGGCAGAAGTTAAGGGATTATGCAGCATTTACACACTAGCTGAAAAAGGAGTAATAGTTATGTTACACCACACAAAATCATACCATGACAATGACAATCTAATCTGCTTAAAAAAATATAGTAAGACATATAAATTAATTGCATTTGAAATCAAAGGTTTCATTGAATCACAATGTTGACCCACTTCCTGTCTACCTCTCCTCTAAACTGCCAGCCCACAACACACTTAGGGCCAGGACACATGCTGCGTTTTTTTACCGCCTGGAAAGGTCGACTCTGTAACAACTTTCAAGGGCACGTAGGCAGGTGGCGCCTGATGATGTAAAGTGACCGTAACCTGCACTATCATAGCCTGACCTGTCAGAAATCTGGAGTTCAGAGCTGAACTTCTTCCAGGTGATGCTCTGGGTAGCCCTGCACTAATATGATCAACTTCTCCTTCATATTTACCACAGACTGATATCTATGGGAGAAAAGAAAAGATATCTGCTGGCTGTGGTTGCTTGTTTCTCGTCACAAGGCATGCAGTGCTTGTTGCTGCATTCCAAAAGTTGAACACTGTTTATCTCAGAGAGCAGCCGGAAAAATAGTCTCTTGGGAACGCTTGTGTACTGCAAAGGCCTCGCTGTTGCTTCTGAGCATGCCACACTTGTGTCTACATCGACAACAATGGACTTCAGAGCGCAAAAATGTGGCATGTGTACTAGGGGTGGGGTAAAAAAATCGATACAGCATAGCATCGCGATATTTTGCATGGCAATATTGTATCGAAACATGGACGCCAGGTATCAGTCTTTTATTATGTACATCATTAATTTCTGCAAATACACATTTTAATACAACTTTTGGTACTAGAATAATAAAATCAATTGCTTTTTTAGTCCACTAGTTGGTGCTGATGTTTATTTTCCTGGTGAGGTCAGCAGAAGACTCAGTCAACAGCATTTGGCAGAAAGTTCATCAAAACGAAGATGAAGGCACTGGACAAAGAAATCGGAAACGTGCCGTCTGTGTTTAAATCAAACGTTTGGACTTATTTTGGATTTTTAACATGGAAGGAACAGAGGACTTGATAGGTGCGATTTGCAAGCATATGAGAATAAATACTCTGGGATTGACAAAGTTCATGACCTACGCCATGTGCAAAGATCTGCGTCCATACAGTGCTGTTGAAAACGAAGGCTTTTGCTACATGCTAAAATCACTTCGTTGGCATGTGACTCCGCCCTGAAGTTTTTGACCGACACAGCCATACCCAAGCTCTACAGAGAAGTGAAGCATAAAGCTGAGGAGTCTTTGAGTACAGCAGGAAGGGTGGCATTAACTCGTGACACCTGGACTTTAAGGTCAGTGGATTCATATGTGACTATAATGGCACATTATCTCACAGATAACTGGCTACTGGTGTGTCTCACGTTCTCCAGACTAGAGCCGCACACTCAGCCTATCTCAATATCACAGCAATATTGTATTATGACCTAAGTATCGTGATAATATTGTATGGTGGGTCCTCTGCTGATTCCCACCCCTAACGTGTACGGGGTCTTAATACGCACTTGTGGCAGACTTCTATCCTAATTCTGCTGTGAAGCGGTTTTCAACATGTATAAGAGCAATGTCTATCCCAGAATTCATCCCAGTTTCCTGCACAGTCCAGTTGTAGCAGTAATGAGTCTTTTAACTGGTTTGAGCACTGATAATTATAGACAGACAGAACAGATGGACGTTAAAGTTTATGATATGTTACATTCATTATGGATATTATTATTTCTGTCAAAACACTACAACAGAGAATCATTCTGTAAAACTGTATGTTTGCTCCAACTTATTGTCTATTATGTTGAAACCTCATTTACTGCAGGTTTTCTTCTTCTCTCCCTTTCCATCCCTCTAGCATTGCCTCTACCACCTCCTATTCCCGCCCTCTCTGTGGCCTCAGCTCTTGTACCTGCACGGCAAAAACTGGGGCCGGGCTGGAGGGCAGGGTGGCTGTGGGCAGCTTCGTTAGCAGTGGGTTGGGGGGGCTGGAGCTGGTGGGGTGAGTGCTTTTCCAGTAGGCCTCCAGGTAATCAGCCATATGCTCACATGCATCCTCCAGCTGGTTCTCATCGAGGATGATGTCGAACATTTCCTGAGGAAGGAGAGACGGGTGCAGACAGAGTTGAATATGAAGGAGAGGAGACATGTGGAGGTCGAGTAAACAAGATGTTAGACTGTAAGACCAAGACGTTTCTTATCTGTAAAGAAATCATCCTGATGTTTATATATACTGTCAGAGCTCTGTTACCCACTGAATTAAACACTAAATAGCATTAGGCCTTAATGCTGAGAAAATCTTAAACAGTAATTCCCTGAAGATATGGACTGCTATTTGAATTAAATTAAGCCTGCACTTTCACAAGCCTGGGGTGCTTGCTTCATTTTCTAAAATAATAACTAAGCAGATTATAGAAGAGCAGAAATAGAATTGGCATGAATTATAACGCTCCCAAAAAAATTCTGACTTCAGACATGCATGAAACTGAAACTCAAAGCCAAAACCATCTCCAAGGGTCAAAACTCTAGGTTGTTTCAGACACTGTTTTCAAGTCAATGGTAATTTGGGCAAATCTGGGCCCACTGCAGAGACTTACAGGAGGGCACTGAGCCAGCTTGTCAGCAGCCACCATCTGGACATTGAGGTGTTTGGCCTGAGACTTGCCTCTGGACTTGATGAGCCTCTGCAGCACCTGAGGGCAAATAAGGCAGCAAGGTCATGTTGGTTTTATTTTGACAAAACTGAGTTTAGGCTTCATGTGGGAAATATTATAATGTACAAAAAATCCAGACACAAAGACGACAGCTTCTTTTGAAGCCCTTACAATCAACAAACTACATCAAGTAGTGTGCTCAAAGAAGAACTGAGGTTCTTGTACTTTACTTGAGTATTTGTTATTTCTGCTACTTTATATTTCTACCCCACCACATTTAGGAGGTAAATATTGTACTTTGTAATCCACAAAAAACATATGATGAATTTATAAAACACAAGGCATTGTTAATCCAGTTTCCTACGGTGTTGTCTTGTGACTCCTAACACAAAAGCACTGTCTAGTTAGGAGCTATTGTCACATTTCAAACATGTATGAGTCGTCAGCAGTTCCATCAAAGAGACATTTCCTCTATAAACTTCTCACATTTGATTAACCGTTTGAGGCCCAAAGAGTAGCATTATAATACATTATACAAACAGTCAGTTCTGACCAGACAGGAGGCACTCCATGAGTGAGGTTGTCACGATGCTTGTAATTTGTTCACAACTTAAGTTTCACGCGCAGTCTATCAAGTCATCAAATAAAAAAGAACACTGCTTCATTGCCAGGTCACTAGCGGTGCTCTGTAGGCCAATGATAGCAACCCCTGTTCGTACCCGAGAGGATTAGAAGAGCGGTAACAAGTGCAGAAACTTAGCTGCTGCGGGGTGGGGGGTGGTCATCGTCATCAAAAGTGATTCATGAAGCCAAACTTCATTTTTCGCTTTTTGCAACCCCATTAATCATTTCAGGATCCCTCAAATTCATCTTGTGATCCTTTGAAGGGGACGCGACCTCCAGGTTAGGAACTGCCAGACTAAATTAACTGTTAGGTAAATTAGTTAGGTCCTTACTGTATCTAAGGCAGTTAACCCAGCTCAGTCTCAGCCTGCTACAGTATTAAAATGCAGCTGATGCCTTCATGCTTTAGTAAAAGAGTAATCCACAAATTTAACATGTCACTCCTGTAGTGTTGTCAGACATCACTGTTTCCCCATACACTGATTTATTGGTGGCGGCCCACCACAATATCGACATTGGCCGCCACGCATTCATTTTCTATCTGTCTTTTATTTTTTTACTATGTAAAATTCAATAGCCGATCAAATAAAACCTGGACTCTTGCTCTGATGTCTGCAGTCACTCCGCAGCCTCACTCCGTGTCCTGCCCACAGCAACATTCATTGGTTACATATCATGAGTAATGAGCCACAGACAGCAAAGACAAACAGACCTGAGCTGCTGTGCCCTCGTAAGTGAGCAAAGCTGTGTGTCGAATGTGAGGGAGCAGATATGATCGAAGTTGTGAGAAACATCAACATCCTAGAAGCAGCAAAAACTCCTGGTGTTTCTCATGGTAATGTTCTGCTGTTAGCAGGCTAATAGTAATATCTGCATGTAATTGCAGTTGTGTGAGTGTGAGAACTGCAAGGAGAAGAAGGAGTGAGGCTGGATGCAAAAGATGTAGTCCATGTCCAGATTATCATAGTTTATAAGTGATCAAAATGCAGCAAGGTGACGTACAGACATTTCCTATAACTGCTAATAGTTCTTATTAAGTATAGCATTTACTTGTAATGGAGTATTTTTACTGAACAGAAATGACTAGAGTATTTTTTCCACCACTTTTGATACAACTTGTAAAAGCAGTTTAAGTTTAGCTGTATATGATGTGGCAGCAGACGTAACTGAGACGACAGCTGGTAGAGAGAGTTTTATTTTATCCCACTGCGACTGTGACTCACACTGATGCCACTTTAATTCTAAGCTTGTATCTCATCCCTCCTTAGCTATGCCTCTTCTCATTCTTTATGTTACCCAAATGTCTGTTTTTTTTATTGATCACTGAATCATGAGCTGTTTTTACTCATGCTGAAGGTCAAAGTGATGAATCAGTTCCGTCACACACGCTGTATACACGTATTTAAAGTCACAGCTAGGGTTCCTGTTATTACACACACACTGACTGGCTCTGTGACTGGATCAGACGTTTGACTCACCTTGGGAGAGGTGATCTTGACGTAGACAATGATGGGGGCGAGGGAAGTCTTTCCGAGCTGTGACGGGTGGTTGATGGTGTCGGCGTCCAGAACAACCAGCTGTAACGTGCGGGCCAGTTCGAAAATCCGCTCAATCTCACTCTGGACTTCAGCTGAAGAAGAAAAGGAGAGGAGGAAAGTTCAACTTATCATGTTCTGTTACCTCTAACAAATACCGACTGGTACATTACACAACCCCACTCCAACAGATGACAACGTGACTGCAAAAACTATCCTACAAATATCAGAGCAGGGCATGGTGCCCAATCAGAGAAGAATCATGGCCAGGCTTCATGACTTCCAGTCACGACAAAGTCTGAAGTAAACTGATAACGTGAAAATATTCCAGCCCAAATGCTCATTCAGACCGCGAATGAGTCACCAACTCTTGTTTCACTAAATCTCGCTTAAGTGTGCCCAAGGGGTGAAACAGTTTCACTTGTTTCCGATACAGAATTTTCCTGAAATCATTTATTGTATCTTGACGCAAGGAAGGCTTCACTCACATCAAACAAATGTTGCTTAAGAGTCAAGAAAATTCATGAAAATGTTCAAATCTTGATCAAATCTAGGCAGATTTCTTTTGGAGAAAGTGAAGATTTCTGACTCTATAGAGCACGAAATGGCCTGTTAAAATGGATATATATTTTCTTTTAGATTAAGAAACTGATTAATTAAATAATGCATGTCACTGGATACTTCATCCCCCAAATGACCACTTGTATATCAGTTACTCACCATGTGCTACGTTGAAATAAACAACACTAAGTTTTTCTTGTTTGCCTCCGGTGAGCAAAGAATCCAAAAACTGAGAAAATTCTTGATGAACTGAAGTTTAACAACAGCAAAACTATATCAAAACATCTGTTTACAAACTGTCACACAACTCATGCAGTATGACCAAGACTCACTGATCCGGTCTGATGCTTAGCACTTACCAAACTGACAGCCCTTTGTGACGAGGAACTGAATTAAAAGTGAAACTTATCAATGCTCCTTCCAAAGCCTGGCTCCACTGACAAAAACAGTCATTTTACTTCACTGAACACGGGAATTTTCTTAACAAATTTAATGTAACAAGGGGTGAGTAACTGATACACGATAGGTCATTTGGGGATTGAAGTATTCCTTTAAATCTAAGAGTTTTGGGTGAAATACGGAGGAAGTTTTTGCTCTTAATGAGTCTCTATTCTAATGTATCATTAAAATGACAGTAGAGGTATTCAAGTTTCATGTTCCTTTATTTATGTCTAATTGTTGTTAATTGTTGCTTCACCTTTAATCTTGTTATAGGTATTGATTCACTTTTTTAAAATTTATTTTATTTTTTATTTATGTGGATTTTGTTTTTATCATTATCATTTTTGTCATTACTATTATTATTATTATTTTTGCATTTTCTACTGCATGTTCTAATCAGGGAGAGTTCTTGTATGTATGCATAACTTGTTAAATGTATGAAATCAATAAACATATGTTTAAAAAAACAGATGAGGTGGAGGAACTGTTGCCTTAAAGCTCCCTACAGTTTTTATCTGGGACAGCAGCACACCACTGAAAAAGACTGGGTCAAATCATCAAGTTGTAGTGTGGCGGCTTTGGGTAAAAATGAAAAAAATCAAAGATAATACACGTCTTTCTTTCAGCTTTTCCTGGGACTTTTTACTCTGCCGCAGCCGCTTACTGATGCTTTTGTTGATACATAGTAAAGATTGTCCTCTCAGTTTGACTCAGGAATCTGTTTTATTCTAATCACATCTGAACCCAGATCAACCTCAGTCAAATCAGAGCGGCTCTTGAACTTGTTATCTTGCATTTATGCTCTATCTTTCATTCCCAACAAAAGAAAACTGGCCAAGGCCTCTCCGGGCCGTCAGGAGTTATCATTACCATTGTCAAGAGTTCCTTTAATCGTTTCCTTCCTTTTCCACATAAGCTGGTCTCCTTGAAAACATTATAAATCAAAACACCAGATGTTCCCAGGCATTGCAGGGATTTCTGGAACAAACGTACCCAAGTTTGAGCGTGTGTTGGAGCGTTCGATGATGGCATGCTTGCTGGGATTGTTCAGGACTGAGCGTTTGGCAAGAGAGATGTCCGCCGTGACACGAGTGATTGATATTCTGAAACAAGGCACAAGAAAAAAAAATTTTTGACCAGATATTATGGATTTTATTTAACATGAGAAAGAAAGGCAAACACTTGTCTTGTCGGTGTGTTAAAACCAAAAATAGGGAAGCAAACAGCTGCCAAAAATCAGAGTCAGATGAAAGAGAGTAGAGTCTGAGAGTAAAAACAGAAAGAAAACAGTCGTAGATTTGTTGAAGCAACATTATGCAACTTTTCGGGAATGTTGAGTCACATTCCCAGGTCGTCAAATACCAACTTTTTGGGTTGATGCTTCAAACAATAACTAAAAGCTGGATATTGTTACTTTAAAAATCATGTCAGCACACAATATCAGTGGGGATACTTAGTCTTTAAACAGGGGTAACTAAGTTAGCTTGATTTGATTGTGGATAATTTGACCTGGATTTTACAGTTCTTTGCCAACAAACACGTTATTTCCTGCACTCTGGTGAATTTTTATGCACAAATTTGTACATTTTATGCATCAATTTATGGTGTAAATGTCTTAAATTTTGTTAAAAGTCCCCTGCTACTTTTACGTTTTTATTGGAGGGGGCAAATGGACATGTTCTAAATATTGATATTTATATGCGTCCCCCTGAAATCTACACCTATGTTGAAAGGTGATTTAAAATCAGAGCAAGTCCTTAAACCCAAACCTGCAAAAACACTGACTGGATCATAACCACGACTTCTCAGTTTGAACCCGGTGTGTGAACTAATTTTCTAACACAAATTAAAACAGTAAATATTGAGAAAAAAATAGGTGGAAACTAAACTAGTGCTGGTAATAACTATTATTATTATAATGCTATGGTAACAAATTGATATATGTTGGTGCACTAACATATTACAAGCATTGTAACAGTAGATGGTATGTACTTTTAGATTTTTTTTCTTTCTGTTTTACAAATACCATGAAGTGACATTTCAACTGTTTTGTAGAGGTCTATATTTAAAAAAACTATGGGGTCTGTTAAAAAAAAAGTTAATATTACCCCAAGGAAACAAAAAAATATCCAAAGAAAAAATGTTTGCCATTGTTTTTTTGTTTTTTGTTAATAGTGTGGACATTAAGGAGTTAATAGAATGTGCGGATCTCTTGTCTGAAAAGTTTGATTTTTGATCCAGCACCTGTAAAACTTTTTGTTGGATGTGCATGCTCTCCACCCTGCCTCCCTACACACAAAACTCATATACTGTACAACTACTCCTGTGCCTGTATTTCACAATAAGATTTTCAAATTTTCTGTTTATCCTGCATTAGCTGAACTGTGTTTAAAGAACAGCACTCAGAGGGAATTAACAGCACTGACTGTGGCTGCTGGTGGTCTGAGTGGATCTTAGTGTTGTGTAACTTCACGGCCTCTCTGCTTCAGATGGTTGGATGGACTCAACATTGAGTGAGGAGAATCCTGCTCCGCTCTAGGGCCCACTATGGCCTATTAAGGACATGGAGAGGGACTATTTAAAGCAGCAGCACACATCTCCAGGCCAAACAAACTTGTTACACACTCCCTCGGCTAACCTCAGGGGACAGATAAATACCAGCCTATAGAGTTGGAGAGGGAGAGGAGGAATGAGGAAGGAAGCAGGATGAGAGTTTGTTTTTTAAAAGGTCACAGGGATCTTACCTTCCCTCGAATCTGTGTTTCAAAAAGTCAAACAGTGCTTTTTGCATCATGTCTGTCACCTGTGGACGGACACATTTAGGAAGAAAACAGTTAGAAAGGGACAAACATTCTGCAGATAACTTCCCAACAAATGCAATGTTGTGTTTGAAAAGTTCTGATGTTACCTCGTAGCCCTTCAGTGACGGTCCAACCAGAACCACGGGCCGCATGGAAGGCACAACGTCGTACGGAGGTATGTGTTCCGCCTGAGGAGAGGAGAAGGAGAAAAACAGTTGCACACATTTATGGAGACAAACTAAACACTCACCATCACAAATCACTTGAGGGATTTGGAACAACAATGACCCAGACTAGATTTGAAAGCACTGGAACATTGTGAACCATGAAATGGGACGTCCCAACTGGCCCGACAAAACACAAGCTTTGATTTATATAATAAATTTGGAAGTTTACTCTATGGATTTAAGCATCATCAGGTCGTCAATATTTCAAAGTATCTTACAGTAAACTCCAATATTTTATAATGATTACTATCCAATATATAAATCCCCTCATTTCATGGTTCTGATGTCACTGAATAAAACTATGTGACAGGAAAGGTTAGTCGGACGGGGAGAAAAAGCTACAGTAGATCAACAGAAGCTACAACTGAAAAACGTGGAACCGTTTAGGACAAAGGTAGAAAAAGTTGGGACAAAGTGGGAGCTCAGTTTGTGTAACAGCCTCACTTTTAAAACAAAATCATCGAGGTGATTTTAACAAGATGTTTGACATTAGACCTAAAAAATCAGTTGGTCGTCACAACTAGTCCTGATCAGATTAGCCTAATGGGTATTGGTGTACCCATCAGGCTAGAACCGACTGGAACACATTAGTTTTCTGGCCAAAAATTCAGTTTCTGCTTTCCGCTCCACTATTACTGCCCTAACAATCCATGTGTGTAACCTTACATAAAATTGATTCCAATGAGTTCAACCTGGTAGCTTATACAGATATTAAATTATAAACAAAGAGGACCATTATTAAGTCCATTGAGGTATTAGATTGTGAAACTGGATAGAAAAACTTGGGTCAACGCCTCCCTTTGACAGAATATTATTCTGCAACAATCCTGCTAATCAGTGAAAGAAATACTTTTAAGAAAAAATGCCAAAAGATGTAATTATTCCAGCTTCTCAAGTGTAAGTATTTGCTAGTTTTTATGGTCTTACATGATAGCAAAACTGATGAAGTCAGCTGATTGATCACATGATTACTTTCAATGCAACTAATTGGCGAATCTTTTTCAGGGCACCCTATTTAAACTGCTCTGGCCTGCCTGCTGTTGCTGCTTCCTCTACAAGCTGCTTTGCTGCTGCTCTCCCTGCCTTAAGTTTTCCATATAGGCGCATGGAAGGGCAGGGAGGTTTGCTCTCTCTGCCTCAGACCTTCCTCGTTTGCACGTGGAAGGTCAGAAAGGTTTGCTCTATCCGCCTTAGTCTTTCCACATAGGCGTGTAGAAGAGACTTTCTGCGTAGGCCCAAGGAAAGAGCCATACCGCCAAATATAATACTGCAAATGGAAATAAAGTTTTCTTTGACTAAAGTGTTCCTGACTGAATTATTATTTTGCAGCATCACAACTAGTATGGTAGCAAATCCTGGTCCAATATGGAATGGACTTTACAGTTAAGTAGGAAGCATCTTGGGTATTTAAAACTTAACATTTTATATATATTAAAAGATTCTGCATTTTTTTGTGTGGAAAAACCATAAGAAACTAAAATGAAGTTAATTTGTGAACTTAGGTTCAGGAGCAGGGCCACGCCTCAACCACACTTGTTATTATCTGCCTAGTCTACTTATACCTCGTCAACCCATTCTGCTCTGTTTGTCTCAGATTTCTCAACCCACCCTCCCTTCCCTTCATCCATCATCCTCCCTACCTCATACCTACCAACATTCCTTCATCCTCTCTTCCCTTCTCCCCTCATCTTTTCTTATTCAGTCTGTTGCAGACCTCTCCCATGTCTCATTGTAGGTCATTTGTCTGGGGGGCCTGCAATCAGCTTGGGTGGAGAAACGCCTGAGACAGAGTCCCCACACTGAGTCTATCTCTGCCCGATCTCCAGTTCGTCCTATCAGAAGACATCCCTCTTCCACTGTCACCCCCACTTACATCCCTTCACCAGTCCTTAACAACTAACATGCCCTGAATTACAATTAAACATTTAAACGACATATTGTTGTGGCGTGGTCCTTGCTAGTAAAATCATTATTCAAATGTCTTAAAATGTGTGAAGAAGATCTTTAAATATGTCACCTTGGGTTCTGTGAAAATGCATTACATATATACAGTATATATAATTAATTAATCAATATAAATACTCTGCAGCTTAACTGATAACCGTTGTTGGCTGACAAAGATTAATAATATCCTAAAGGGAAATGTTAAAATCTGAATAACTGCTAATGACGGTTGGTTCTGGTGAAAAACAAAATGACAAGTGAACAGTGTAATTTTCTTTTTTGATGCAGATTATATTCCTCTGGTGTTGTTACAGCTACTGCCATGTTTAGATACTCAGAGTCATGTGTATAATTTTGGAGAGACTGTCGTTTTAATTTGTTTAAATTGTTTGCACACTGCTTTTACATTCTGTGTGCGTCTGACAGCAAGGCGGTGAACCTGATGCTGCTGTGAGTCCCGGGCGTCTGGCAGAGCAGCATGTTTGAAGGATGTGTGTGGATGTGTCAGCGCACTGGAGGAAAATTTAAACACTTTCTCATCTTTTAGAAACGCGGTCACAGTGCATGATCTAAGTTGAAGCTCTGTTGGAGAGCAGACAGCTGGGAGGCAGAGGGTTGACTACTTAAAAGGACTGTTGATTATCATATCCACCACACAGTATTTTTTTTCACTCATTTTCTTCCCTTATTTGTGCGAGTGTTTATGCTGCTCTCTCAGCCTGTGTTATCTTTATGATGAGTGTTTTAAGTAGATTTCATGTGTGCTCTTCCTCCTCTCTCCACTTCTAAGGATTTTCTTTCTGTCTAATGTTTGCTGTCGTCATCATGCTTCCCTTGGGACTATGTGGGAACTGATGCACACTACTGTGGACTAACACAAGGGTATTAATGGACAATGTGGTTTGGCACAAATGCTTCTGGTAGTGCAAGTTAAACTTTGCATCACATGGTTAACGTCAGCGTAGTCATGGGAAAACTGTCATGTATTGGCATTTTACAAGGTTAAATCAACCTAAAGCTGGGGGAGGCTGTTTCATTTTGGCGTCACTGGGTGAAAATCCCATAATAAACTTGAGCATATTGTATACAAGTAGTCTGAGAGAAAGCTTCTGCATGTCCTCTTGGCTCTGTGTTCAGGCTTTAGAAAATGTAGATCTGATGGGAGACTTTGGCCACTCACAGGCCATTTTTAGAGAGAGGGTGTTTCTGTTGGCTGTTCTGTGCAGGTGTGTATGTGCACATCTCTTTGGTCAAAGCCTGACTAAGTGGCGGAGAATCCTGCAGAGACAGTTGCTATTCCAGCACTGGTAACAACTGACTGTACTGCAAGGCAACCCAAAAAAGGAAGACAGACTTATCAAAAAGAGAGTCTGACAATAAACAAAATATATTACGTCAATATTGTCGAAGTGAATCGCTAATAGCTTTACTAACAGTTAAGCCTTCTGCTAACTGGAGCCAAAGTCTCACAGCTGCAGCTTCATGTTCATGTTTATGTAGCTAATGTTAGCAAGAGCCTTGAATCACAGTGTCCTCCGCCTCACTGCCCCGCTGTACAAACCACTTTGGTGGGAGGAGAGCAGGCAGAAGCTCCAGAGACAGATCCCCAGTCAGTGGCTGCAGCAACATGAATCCAGCCAGGGGAATGAACAGCCATCAGGTTAGACCTGGTGTTGCTGCTGGCCACCAACCTGTTGTGACATCCAGCACTGGGGGGTTTGCACTGGCTGAATTTAAGCCATCTCCCAAGCTGCTTCTGCCTACCCCAACTTTAGTTCATTCCTGTCTTTAAATGTGTGAGGAGATTTTTGTTGATTTTATATAAATTATAGCGCACTGCAAATACATCACGTTAATGAAACATATTCATTTGAATGTCCTGATGTTGATTTTCTACAGCAAAAGCATTAATTGCTGCTGTCACTGAAAAAAAAATCAATAAAAAGGTTTTAAAGCCATATTTTTAGGCTTAATACATCAAATGCAAAATATAACACTTCATAAACACACCTACACCTTTATGTGTGAGTTCACTGAGGCCAAATGGAAAAATAAATAAATAAACAAATAAAACAGAGTCAAATTCCTTGTATGTGTTCACATATAGTTAGCCATCAAAGCTGACTCAGATTCTCATAGTAAATGTTACTCACGGTGAATGTGTCTCTGTTATGTGGTAAAAACCAAAAAGATTAAGAGAATAACTCACATTTTGGGACATATGCTTATTTGCTTTCTCATCATGAGTTAGATGAGAAGATTAATACCACTCTCATGTTTGTCTGTTAAAAATGAAGTTACAGCAAGCAGCCACTTAACTTAGCTTAGCTTAGCTTAGCTTAGTATAAAGACTGGAAACAGCTTGTCTGGCTCTAATAAAATAATAAGTATACAAAGTAACATGCTAAATCTCCTTTGCTAAATGAAAACATGCAAAAGGAAGTTGCTGTTTTATGAGCGGTTATGTGCTCCTGTCTCTAGTATCATATCTAATGGAGGATATGAGAGTTGTATCAGTCTCCTCATCTGACTTTTTAGCATGATAGCTAATAGGCCTATTTCCCAAAATGTTGAACTATTCCTTTAGAGTCAGATCTTATTAAAAAGGCTGCCCACACTGAGCTCTCACTCCATCAGGATTACAGGTTCACTTACACATAAACAATCACACACACACACAGAGGGGATTGCAGGAGCAGTGAGTAGGGTGAGAGGTCAGTACAGAGCTGAGTCTCTATTGAGGGTTTGTACAGTTCAGACCACAAGAGGTCATCCCCAGACCCTGCTGAGCTGGTGCACTGCACACCACGACTTACCGACTTCTGCTTCTGCTTAGCTGTGGTGAGACGGAAGAGGAGAAAGAGAGAGGTTAAGAACAGGCATGCATGCTTACAGAGGGGTGCACGCTGAGGGATGAGGACGGTGTTGTAGACAAACAGGACGGACGCTGAGTGAAGCCAAGCAGGCATTTAGTCAGAGACGAGCGGACGGACAGGACAAGAAGAGAAGGCTGGGTAGTCCAGGGTTTACCTTCTTAAAAAAGGGCATTCGTTTCTCTTTTGCTAGGGGTGACATGACAGTGTTTGGACTGGCTTTAGGGGAGCGCAGGTTGACTGGAAGCTCATTGTCCTCGGGGTCTAAGTCTGTGGCGTCTATGTCAATGGCTACGCATACAGACAGACAAGACCACCATCACACAGGTGAACACAGGAAGTCACAGGTAACAGGGTACACTTCTTATTGACAGTAGCACAGAACTTATGCTACAACACATTGACAGCAAATGAAACATGTAAAAGAACAATTATGGCCATTAAACATGTAACTATGAGGAAAAGAACAACATTACTGCAGGTAGAACTATAAAATATGAGAAATCTAAGTAGCTCTACTTACCTTCAACTTGAATTCAGTGTTTAACAGTTGGTTTAAAGATCAAAGAATCTATTAAATGTAAAGCTGGAGTTTTACAATCACCTATCAAGCTACTCACCAGACGAAGGAGGAGTAGATTTCCTTGAGTTAGGAACCACTTCACCTAAACTAGAGGATGAGTTTGCTCCCAATTTACTGAAAAGAGAAAATGTGTTTGATGTGTGAGATCAACACCAAGTCTAGATTTAGTTCAGCCGATCTCCCAGCTGAGACAGTGAACTTTGGTGCAGATGAGGGTTTTCACCTGGAGTGGAACTTGCCCTGTTTGGCTCTCTGCTCCTGGAGGATACGCGTGTTTTCAAGCTTCACTGGACTGGGTATAAAACCGATTTCACAGCCTTCCTTCACCAGGCGTCCTATCCACCAGTCGTTGTTGAATTTCTGCGCAAAATAAGTGGAGACAGTTATATCCTTGTTCTGATCGTCATCCTTATTTCTCTCAACGTCAATGACTACATTCACATGTATAAAATATTGCAGTTTTTGCCCTTATTCCAAAAAAAAGGACAATATTCCCACAAAGCTATTTACATGGCTGTGTAAAATAAAGATTTCCATTTACATGCAGCTGTGCAGTCTCTGATTAATGTGCCCTACACCCTAAAAAATAATGGGTCAAGTCGCTAATCCAGTTTCAGGGGATGGGGGTATTTCTGTGTTTTTTGGGGTTGTTTTCCAATGCAGAAGGAATAATTACCCAGATATTAGTTCATGAAGCTGACCTTTTGACCCCTATCCACAGGTGGCATGTTAATTTTAAAACTGGGTCAAAATAACACATTTTGGGGTGTTACTGGACACCCAGGGGTTTTTAAATTCATGAGTACTGGGTTGGTGCTAAACTGACCCAGTACTGGACACCACGATTGACTCAAACTGGGTTAAAAGAAAAACAGTATTTTTTTTTAATGTGTGGCATCAAAATATGGAAAAGTGGAACGGCTGGAGCTGCTTGTGCCATTTTGCCTCTTTGCTTTAAAATTTTAAAAATTTTAAAAAAAGTTTTACAGCAGTGGGGGGCTATTCGACAGTACGAACACAGCCTCCCACTTTGATTCCTTCAACCGCCTTCTCGAAATGGCCAGCATTACGATATCTATCCTAAAAGCCTGTTAGATAGAAGTCTTTCATAATGTTTAAAAGTGTGTGTGTTCCTTCTTCCAACAAGAAATGTGAGCTTTTCTTTTGGGCATGCATCTCTACCACAGGCTTGCAATCTGTTGGCGAATCAGTTTATGTACAATGCATCCATGACAACACACAGAGCGGACCGTAAACACAAGAGGCCATGTGTTGCACACTGCGATTATAGCTGAGAGTTGAGACACATATTCCTAATGCACTGTACATGTCCGAAGAATGCTCCTAAAAGCTTTATGTACCTGCATATCCCTCATGTCTAAACCAGAAAATTCCTCATCTGGAAAACAGAACATGCTGTTCACATGACCCATATCGAATTCAGAGTACTTTCATATTCGGAATAATAGTGTGCATGTAAATGCAGTCATCACTGTCTTGAATATCATGTCTGATTTGGAAGTTGACCTCTCACCTCTTTGACATGGAGGAAGTCTTTAGCCTCAAAGGAGATGGCCATGCCTGGCACAGGGACATCGTCATCGTGACACGGGCTATAGTTGACATTTGTGCGGACAGCAAATGCAACTGGTTTGGTCTGCCGGGAGGAAAAAAGGAAGGAGATAAATAAAATGTCAGATTGCGCAAAAGAAATAAATGATAACCTAATATCCTGCTCCACAAGAGAGTGGTGACCTTTTCCTTACAATGTTAAATTTTTGATCTTCCAGTGCACTGTTGGTGAGCTGTGATTCTCATCTTTGCGCGAGGTGTAAAAATAACCCTGGGTGAGGGATACAAGTCAGCTCTGACTCATCCAGACTTAGTATCTCTCCATGAATGATTTGGCCACTGCACTGTCTCTCTGCTACAGGCTAAAACACTTTTATAATTCAGAGTGATGCAACATGTTAGCGTCTGCAGCAATCACCACCTCGACACTCATAGTAAAACAGGACTCTTGTCTTGCGCCTACTTGTGAGTGGCACAAACAGCACATGAATAAATGGTTCATAAATCAATCCCACAATCTTTACAATGGTTGAATCAATACTGGCCTTCCAGTCGAATCACTACTGACCGTCCTCTTAGGGACAAACAGTCCATTGAGATAATGCATACAGCTAATGAAATGTTTCCTGTACTCCTGCAAGCTGTGATATAACCACCCACACTGCTATCTGCCACATATGAGAAACAACTTTCCTTCCTTCCAGAGACATTTTTGCACAAAGCAAAAGCAAATCTCCTTTGCCCATAGTGACGCATAACATTTTCTACAAAAAGGGATTTGAATGAGATTTAATAAGGTCACGTCATGAAAAAATGTAATGGGAGAACCATATGCTGACAGACAAACCCTCTGATTTTAGATCTCTGCAGGAGTAGAATATACCCACAAAAGACACACATCGCTTTGAGACTTACATAAAACGCTTTTGGACATAATCTTGGAGCCAGCCTGGCGGTGATGGCAGCAACAGTTGGCAACATGGTCATGCCCTCAACCAGATTACATTAGCTCTGCCTTTGACTGTGTGACAAGCATGACAGGAGTCAGCTGAAAAGCCAAAACGAATGCACAGGGATATAGCTTAGAGTAATCTCCCAGCGTAGATTCACATGCTGAATATTTACCTGCAGGTGAAAGTGAGCAACGTGAGGGGAGGGGTGTGTGATACTCAGCTGGATGCCAAATTAAACCCACTAGATTTGATGCTGTAACTTAAGTTATACAGATTCAGTAAAATGCTTTAAATCTTCAATCTGGCATCCTGTAACTGGTTTCATCACAGTGGTCCTGTCTATCTGAGCAGATTGAGCGTCAATTCAGTGCGGTATATGAATCAAGGCAGATCTTCACATCTTCAATAATGTCAAGTTTTTTCCAACTTAATTACAGAAAATCAAGTTAATTTGGAATAGAAGTGAGCTTTAATTATCTTCCTATATTTTTAAAGCTGCAATAATTGGTTTTCAGGCCACTCGGGGCAGAGGAACATCACAGTGACCTGGAAAACACAGACTGTATTACCAATCACATAGTAAGGGACCTAATTCTTATAGAAAATAAATTCTAATATCTGATCCCTACAATTAAAGGAGATGTTCCTGATGGAGTCCAGGGCTCAACAATAAGGATTGTCCGATTGCCTGGGCCAAGTAAAATGTGCGTTTATATTTTTAGAGCTGGAGATGGAATTAGCTAAGGAGTGAGCTCTGTCTAAGAGCTGAAGCATAAGCAAGCATTTCAATTATCCTGAAAACTGTTTAGTTGGGTGGCATGAGAGTGATGGTTCCCAGTCCAAATTTCTCCTTAGTCATTAGTTCAAGGTCCACACAGTTGAATATATTCAGCGTCATACTTGCATTTGGCCATGTCGTCCAGCTAGTGTGCTCACTCTGTCAAGTAGCTGTCTGTTAGTCACTCACTCTGCAGCAGGAAACGGCACTTTAAAATAAAAGCTCTGGGCCAGAAATTCACTGTACTTCAAAATAAAGTGTGTTTTTAACAAACTTGACACATTTGTGGGTCACTTGCAGTCTATTCAGAATTGATCTGCGACCCACTTTTGGACTGGGTGCCACTGCGTTAGAGGATGTGGGCAAATAAAACAGGGTCATTATTTATGACAATTGCCTATAGTCTTTGTTGATATTTGACAACCACTAATGAATAAAACAATTTGTATATGGGCAAGTATATAAAGACTTTAGGCAGGTGGGTATCTGAACCACCTGCCTGATCAGGCAAGTAATAAAACATTAATGTTGAACCCTGGAGTGGTGAATCTGCACTCCGCAACGATCATCACTGTTATCAGCACAAGTTGTTGAGCTGTTTGAGACAAAACTGAGTTAAAAGAGAGTGAATATTGGGCTCACATTAATCAGGTGGACATTTGCTAACAAGTTTGAAATATCAACCTTAAAAGTGGTTAATGTTGTGTTCACAGCTTGTTCCTGCTGCACCCAAGTGGCCAATAAAATTGCTTACTGCAGGTTTAAATATCCAATGTGAAATGACTTAAAGATTAATATCCTTCATGCAGCACTTTCCCTTTCACCTTCAACCTTCAACAATGACTGATTGGACTTGCTTGGATCTGAATGCTACTCGAGATCTTTCAAAGCGATGCTCAGTGAAGCTCACTACTTAGAGAGTAATTCATCAGTGGCTGCAAGAGGGGCTTTACAGACACCGAGCGCTCTCTTTCATCATCACTGTCCACTACTGCCTCATTGATATACAACAGGTGTGAAGTGACTGTGATGAACTATAAGGGATTATGGAAATAATACATTAGTGAAATCCTCCTGGAATCATTTTCCTCATGCGGACAGCAATGTAAATATTCCATGAAGTGATGGTAGTAAGCTGGATGTGTGCGTGTGTGTGTGTGTGTGTGTTTGAGTGTGTGCTTGTGACACCTTCACTGGGAACATCATCCAATCCAGCGCCAGGACCCATAGAGGACAAAGTGTCCTTGGCTTTTGCATGCATTGAGTCACATGGCTGCATGAAGGTATGAGGTCCATTAGTACATAGTGTCTCATGGACCGCTGCCTCTTGCCTCCCTTCCAGCTGCTGTACTCGTCTTTATCCATCATGGCCGTCTGTCAGCTTTCTAAAGGCTTAATGACATTTTACAGACCTATAGGCAATCACACACACACATATATGTCCTAACATGCCACCTTGTATCACAGGTGACTGCAGGATTTGTACATAATGGCACATTTACAGTGCTGTAGAGTATCCCTACACCTCCTGGCTGAGCCCATACTGCTCTGTTGCTTCTTACGTAACACAGGCCTTCATTATGGATGCCATATTGACTGCAGTGAGGCAGGGAGAACGAGAGAGGCGGAGGGTTAGAGACCGGGTAAGAAGCGTGGGAGAAGGGGAAAATGGAGGAGGAAAAGAAAAGAAAAGGAGAGGAGATGGACAGAAGGATAGCACACATTGTAGTGCAAAAAAAGGAAGCAGAGGACAGGAAGTGAGAGGAGACACATTCATAGAGATAAGAGGCAGAGTAAGGATAACACAGAGATAACCAGCTCAAGAGAAGCCCTATCTGTAACTGGGAACCCTGGGAGGCAGCGCTATGGACCACAGCCAATTAACACCACACGACGCTCGTCACAATATCACATCGCACCATGAATATTTCAACAGATAGTACCTCCCGGTCCCCTCTGTGCTTGCAGTGACTGAGTGAACACTTGCCCTTGCTGTGGCTGATTTGCCATGTAACGTGCCACATGTCTCTCCATTAGCAGCACACTTAGGATCTCGTGCTATAAATCTAGTTTCCCACATTGTTTCACCTTGAATGTTGCGGATCGATTTGAAATAAATTTTCTTCAGCTGCGTGCATTGGCCTTAGGCCGTATGAGAGCCTGTAAAATGTATTATATGGTACGAAGGGAGCCATAACCTTCATTAATTTACTGTGGGAAGATATTTCCATAATTATCCAAGATTGTTTTAGTATATTGTAAGTATACACATAACCTAATGATACATGAAGGCCACTGCAGCTACCGGTTATTGTTTCTTTTTTGCCTGGAGTTTTTAGTTGGAGTGAGATTATGCTTTCTATTATGTGTTATCTACATTAATCGATTATGCACTAATCTAACAAGTCAGATTCCATATTTTATCCATTGTAACAAAACTTCTCAAGTGACAAAGTGAGAGAAATGAATCTGACTCAGATCTACACACATCAAAAAAACACTCCTTTTTCGTGACTGGATATTTTGGGGGCAGCTGACACAACCTGTAAACACACATTATCATGCTACTTTTGACTCTGTTGCGTTCTCCACCAACTCCTGAAGGAAATATCTGGTTGTTAAGCTGCTAAATGCTTCACCTTATTCAACAGCTAGTCGCTAACTTTGTCTGTCTGTTGGTTGGTGCTGAGCAGGGCTGTCTCAATGAACTCAAAATGGCAATACCCTGCTATTGACAGGCCAACTGCATGGGATGGCAAGTCACTCCAACAACCACCTGGTGAGGTATTATTCTGCGCTGAGTGCTGAATGTTTTAATCTTTCTTCTGGTTACCGAGAGTTGAAGATTATTCAATTTCAGGTAAAACGCTGCAGCCACTCGTCACTGTCACTTTTTACCCAGCTGTCTAATCACAGTGGAGAAGGGGCAGGGCAAATACCACAAAGACCAACCGTCACGTCACAAAAACACAACAATGGAGGAGAAATTAACACTAAATCCACACAGATGTAGGTCCATCCTCTCTCCCTATGTGCTTCAGCCTTTCCTTCATCCAGAGCAGTTACTCTACTTTGTGCTGACATTTTTACTACTGCAGATATTCTGTATCATACCAACCAAAGCATCTTAGCTGAAAAAACACCGCTTCCTTACTGCCCTTCATTGCCCTTCTGTATTCTGAATTTGACAATGAACAATTTGTTTTAAAAGGTTTAAAACATGTCATCTTTGTCATTTAAAATACAACATTATACCTGATAATAGCCTGATAATAAAGCTATAAAGCAGGATAAATGAAGTCATTTACAACAAAAAATGGTGGTAATACCACATATCACACTGCTGAGCCACCATTAGTTACCCTACAGCCGATGGGTCGACTGTCTACCAGAGCCTTTTTTTCTGAAAACAGCTGTCTGCTGTGGCCAATAAATAACGCTGATGAGAGCAGTGAGAGTCAACCAAAAATGTATTGTGTTACGAGCTGGAAAACCAAAACAATCAGCCTATAGATGGTGAAACGCTCTGTAGAGCTGAAAGAAACTGCAGAGTCGATGATTATCTAAGGGTTCAAATCGCTGTTTAATCTATAGTTAATACAACAATATTGATTATAGCAGCTTTGAATAGGTACAAAGCCAGTCACCTTCAACACCTGCATCCTGCCTTTGAAACAGATTACAGTCTCATGACATCAGTCTAGATGTGCCACTAATCAGGTGACATTAGAGGTCAGACTAAATCATCTCTGACATCAATGGGCCAACTACTGGGCCGAGTAGCTTTGTACCACAACTGCAATTGTAAAAGAGACCATGTCCCTGAATGGCAACCGCTGTTGCTCACAAATATATTTGTGAGTATAACTGTAATATATATCCATTAGATGTTTTTCCATCAGAAAATAGATGTGGACTTGACATCAACATGGCCGTACTTTAAAAGTACCCGAGCAATTTCGTATTGCACTTCCTAACTTCTAAGTTACTAGACTGGGATATCCGGACTTTTTGTCCCCAATATAGGTCAAGCTCCACAAACCCTTGATCTTCATATTGCAACTGTAATGCTCCCTCTCGGGTAAATGCCCTCACATTTTTAAACTGCACTCACATTTGAAACTTCAGTCTATAGTGTAGCTTTTTCTCTGAACATTTAGAGGCTCCAACCCTAACCTGAAATAACCTCTGATTATCTAAGACTTGACAAAGCTTTTTTGGAGCCACAAACATTATACAACCATTGTCACAGACTGAGTGGTACTATTACTTATTTTAATGTGTAAAATTGATTAAGTACCCATTTAGGGTCAATTAGAGAAAGTGGAGAGTGGTTAGTGTGTGTGTGTGTGTGTGTGTGTGTGTGCAAATACATGTAATGTAATGTGAAGCAGTGCATCAGGGCAATAGGAAATCTTGTACACAGCATCACAGGCATCAGCCCTATCCCCAGTCCTTATGAATATCTGTGGTATGTTAGGGAAGTCATTGTGAACTACTGCCCATAAAGGCTCACAGTCAGAGAGTCTGCACTTCCTCTGACCCCAGCTCACTCTCTCTCTGGTGGCCAGACCACTGAGAGGCTATTTTTTACCAGTCATCTGTCATGTAAAATGCCAGCGGGGGTAATCCATGCCAGGTTATCTATAAAGCCAACTTATCTTTTTAATTAGTGAGCCAGAGAGGGTGACTCTGGAAAATAACAACATAGATCTGCTGGAATGATCCGTCTTTGCCAGCTATGAGCTACCTCCAGACACAGTGCAGGAGGAAAATGTCTGCTCTAATGGATAGACAGCCAAAAGCTAAGCGCTTACAGCTAATGAACGTGCTAGCTGTTACAGACACTAAACACCCAGTGAAAGACAATACACCAATTATTCACTTGCTCGACTTAATATGCAAAATAGAAGTTATCCAATGAGCTGTAAAGCAGGAAGAGGACACAGTGTGCACAAAAGATTGTTGAATTATTTCATAGATCAAAGGCATAAATCTTAACAGTGCCAGCGATTTGAGTGATTCTGTGGAAGCGAGCGCTGATTGCAATTCCTGTCGCGCAAAGGCAAGCCTGCTCTGCCGTGTGTGTGTTTGTTTATATGCTGCTAATTGTGGCCCAGAGCAGGCGAGGCTTGGCTCTGATAAACAGCGACGCTGAGCCCTCTGAGGCCCCTAACTTCTCACATCAGCAGCCCCCAACAGCCCTTTCCTCGTCTTAGAAACCAGCTAAAATCAGCTCCTGCTTCTCTCACGCTCGCCATAGCCAGTCCTGCAGCATTTTCCACTAATCTCACCCCAGGAACAGTACAACAACATATGATTTACCATCATTGTTTTAATATCTGAGTGTGCGTGAGATGAGGGGAAGCCAGAGATAAGGAAACTTTGCTCTGAGTCAAAATTACACCAACTTTTAACAAAAAATTCAACCAGTATGGACATAGAGACTGTTTTTCTCAATGTCCTCCACTGAAATCTCACTGGTGAACCCCCCTTACCAGATTGAGAATACGATAGCTAATTTTCCTGCCATGATAAACATGTAGGCCTAAGAAATGAGACCAAAAAGGAAGCAGACGCAGCTTTTAATCTTCCAAAAACAAACCAGGCAGTGTAAAGTTTACATTATCATTTGACTGATGCCGGACATCATTCACTGAAGAATAATAAACCAGTTTTTGTCAGTGTACATAGACTTCTATACTTGTGGGGACCCCCACTGGCAAAATGTATTCTCAACTACATGCCTATCCCCTTTATCCCAAGCTTAACTTAAAACTCATTTTGACTTTAGGCCTAAAACCTAGTCTTAAAAGTGCCCTGTGGAGTTTTCTTGCAAATAAACAAAAGTCATTGGTCATTCTCACCAAAACACACTTTGTTTATCCTGTTATTTATAGGTCATAAAACATTTGCATTTTACATGAATTCATTTTTGCTATCTTACAGTCTTCTTCTTTGTTGCCTTAATTAAGACATCAATCCATAGTGCTACTAGTGGCCCAAACCTCTACAGGTACCTTTAACCCTCAAACAGTGCCTTGAAGCAGACAGAAAGTCCTCACTTTCCACAAATGTTCTCACTCAATTGATCACTGCCCTTTCTTCTCCAAGCCTGTGCCTCCTGTTCAAAATGTTCCTGACACACTCTTCGTGGCCCCCCAGAGAGCAGATGTCTCACGAGGTAAAAAGTGGACAGAGTGACCTTAGCGCTGCTGGACACCAACCTTGGCCTTGTCGAGCTGTGCCTGAGCCTGTCGCTCTGCCTCTCTGCGCACTGCCTCCTTATCCTCCTCGAGGGACACATCGGAGTCTGATGGACGGCTGGTGTAGGAGTCGGCCGAACCCTGCAGAGACACAAACATTAACACTTCAGCGGCACACATACACTGAAGCTCAGCTTTGTCCGTCTGGATTCACACTTTAAAAAACCACAGGTGTAAGAAAAGCAGTGGGCTTCACAGCATCTTGACTTAATTTGCTTTGCATTGCCCTTCCTCTTCATAGAAAAACTTTGCAGTTGAGCATCTGATGAGCAACTTACAAATGTGCAAAGACACCCACACACACTGAAGTGTTAAACTCGGATCATCAAAGGAATTTCAGTTGATTTCGTGAAATAATGAATGTAGAGGCTGTGCTCAATAAAATGAGCAGGCATGTGATTCTGCTATCAATCACAGCACTGCAACAACTTGAGGAAACCACAGGAGCTGATTGAATCTGCAGCAAATTATGGACACTTCCTCTTTTTCTGACAGAGGATGCCAAAGGACACAAAATCTGTCTGTCATAGAGTCACATCACCAGCAGCTCTTCGTCTATCCTTAGCTCTCTCTCTCAGCTGCTCGCCTGCAGAATTGTTGTGATCCTTGTGTGAGAAACACCAGGGGAAAAGTTGAAGAACACCAGTTCCCAGTATGTCTCTGTGTGATATGTGTTTGCAACAGATCTACTCATAAACACGCAGACATACCAAAGCACACACTGTTACTCCTGACTGCAGTGCACTGGTGCAGCCAACACTTACTTGTTACATACTACATGAAAACACATCATAAATAATTGCTGAGGTAGTTAAAGTAGTACCTGCACGCTATATAGACTGCAGTGTTTACAGTGCTCTACAAAAGGCAAGGAACAGTTACAACAGACATGCTTCGGTTGAAAAGAAACAGAGAAAGGCTTTTCAGTTTTCTGGCTGACTGTGTGGATACCATTTAAATGTCTTTTCAAACCACAAGAAAATCATTGACATAGACCATAGATAAAACCTAACTGTACGAAAGCTAAGTAGGTGGGAAAAACAGTATTTGCGAACAAAATGTGCTCTGTGAGCTTTCTATCTATCATGAAAACTACTTAACATATCAATTTGACATTAAATTCATTTAAAATTGTGATTTAAAGGTACTTTAACCTCACCAAATCATGAATTTGGTGGTGCTCTGCTAAGCTAAGCTACTTAGCCAACCTTTAGCACAACTAATTTAGCTGTTTTTATTCTGTGTGACCAGATTTAGCTATACTTTATTTGGGATGACAACAAAATTATCAAGAAGTTAGTTCATCACAATTCATACATTTTAATTACAGGACACAAAGAAGGGGTAAAAGAAAAAAAAGTACATTTAGCTTTAGGTGCAGAGAGCTTAGCTAAATTTGGCTCGTTTGTTTTGACTGTCTTTAGCTCCAGTCTCTTTTTTCTTTTTTAAACTGTTAATCTGTATGGCCTAAAAATATACATACACATGTAATAATTATATTTAGATAAAAAATAAAAATATTTGATTTTAAACAGTCAGATTCTGGTCTTAACTACATCTTGACTGGTGTAAATTTGCAGTTACTGCATTTTTGGTTTGTAGGACAACAGTGATAGCTATAGCTAACTGAAGTCAAATTTAACACTGATGAAAAACAAGCAAGTTTTATGAATTAATTTGTGGATCTTGTAATGAATCCAATACATATGCTCGTACACACCGTTCTACTCACTAAACCTGAACTTTGGTGGTACGTTGCTAAACTAAGCTAAGCTAAGCTAAGCTGAGCTAGTTAGCTAACCTTTAGCATGACTAGTTTAGCTGTATTTATTCACTATGATCAGATATAGCTACTGTTTTATCTATGTGGGAAACAAACCCACCAAGATGTTATATCATTAAGATTAATACATTTCACTTTCAAGAATTAACAGAGGGTTAAAAAAAAAAAAAAAAGTAAATTTAGCTTTAGGCACAAGTAGCTTAGCTAAATTCGGCTCTCTTACTTTGACTGTCTTTAGCTGTTTTCTTTGAAATTATACATTTATAGGGCCCAAAAATATGTAGGCCTATACATATAATTAATTGAAATAATGTATATACATATAAAATAAAAATATTTGTTTTAAAGTAGTCAGATTCTGGTCTGAACTTTGACTAGCACAATCATGCTTTGAAGGACAGCACTTATAGCTACAGCTAACTGAAACAAAATTTAATAAGGGCTGCACGATATGCAAAAAAATAAATTAATTCCAAAAATCAAACCAATTATTTTGACAGATACTGCGGATGCAATAAGTGTCGTTATTTTAGTGGGAATGGTAAATTTTGCAATTAATTTTTACTAAAAAAATATAAAAAATATGATGGTGTGATTTCTGCTGGGGTCTGTAATAGGGATGCACCGAATATTCGGTAACCGAATATATTCAGCCAAATATTGCAAAAAACCACACATTCGGTATTCGGTAGAATAAGTGAAAAGCAAGGCTGAATAATAGCAGCGTGTTTTGATAACGCAATCAAACAACGTGCGGTGACGGACGGAGTAAATTGTCGGCAGTGTGGCGATATTTTACTCCATCCGTCACTGCACTCGCATTTGCAACTAAAAATAGTTTTGTTCGAGCAAAATAAATCATTCAGCACGCTGTGTGAGTACAGATTTCAACCAGCAGCAGAAACGAAACGGCGAATCCCACCAGTTGTGGGGTTAACGGGGGTCACAGACACAGACAGGAATGTATTCCTGTCAAATACGGCGGCCATAGGCTTACTGGCGATGGAGAAGTCCGGCTCCAATAATGTCCTCTTCTTGGCATCATGACTGCCCAAAAGTACCTGGACAGCCGAGCCGTGGCAGCCCACAGGTATGTGGCGTGTCAGAGGGGAAACGAGTGGTTCACATTTCTCTCTTTGTGGCAGGTAACAGTCCACAAACCTCACCGCACTTTAGGGACTGTTCTTTACTTATGGAGGGACTGTTCTTTACTTGTCAGGGGATGAGGGTGGCTGGTTGATTTTTATTTTAATTATTTATTTTATTTTGATCCCCCCTATGTTAATCACTTATTGATGCTGTTTTTGAAGTATGAATAAGTCAACAAATAATTTATTCCATTGAAATATCATTGATGTATTATAGAAAAGTGATTTATCTTTTTATAAATGACAAAAGGCACATCTGCCTCATTTTCGCTGTGGTATCGTGATACTACTCAGAACCATGATATTTTCACTGGTATCGTACAGTGGGATCCAATTTTGGTACCGTGACAACACTAATCTGGAGGGGGTTCATCTGCAAATGCTAATGAAAAACTAAACAACGGTATTCAGTATTTGGTACTCGGTACTCGGTATTCGGCCAAGCGTTTAATTTTATTCGGCTTCGGCCAAAAATTTTCATTTCGGTGCATCCCTAGTCTGTAACAAACAAGCATGTTGTCTTACATCTGGAATATGATTTGCAGACCGGGGCATCTCTGAAGCACAGTGCTTCATATATAATGGTATGTTGTGACACAGTTTACCTTCATCAACAAATTGCATCTCCCACTATTTTTGGCCATAATGCAGTTTTGATAATATTTTGATTAACTGTGCAGCCTTAAATATAATGCTGGCAAAACACATACAAAATGCGAGGGAAAGTTTTATGTTTTCATTTGTGGCTGTTGGAATGACTGCAACACATTTGCACATACACTACTGAATCATTTCCCAGTGCTGCATATCACTTTACCGTATGTATAAATCATGGTCTAAGAGTAAATAAAGGTATTTTTTTTAACAAAGTGAAGGCAGTGTAAGCCTTATCCTTACCTGCACGCCACTATGCCACCCACACAAGGTCTTTCATTCATCTCACTGCACCATTACACTCTGCTGTCTGAGTTAAAAATAGCCTCCCTCACTCTGTGCCTGATTAGACTTACCCAGCCATCACATACATACAAAGGAGGATGTCCTCTCCACTTATATTATCTGACTTATGTATAGAGACTGCAAGGGTTGTTACCACTCATGATACAAGGTTATATATATTAATGTCCTGCGTCTTACAATGAAACCCTGCTGCTTGTCAACTGCCTCTGTGTCTCATCCTCCCTACTTTGTACCTGATATGAATAACTCATTTGAAAGCAACCTCATTAATTATCCATGTGTTGCTTTTGTTGTCATCGCATCCATGATCAAAATAATCTCCTAGTGGCTCTCAAAACATCAACAAGCATCTAAACCATGTGTAAAATACTGCTCAAGCTTGAGTATGAATGTGCAGCACTTCCAAATACAGCTATATATCCTAAATCAGCTTCTTATTGCACATTAGTGTCTCCTTTATGAGCTACATCTGGCCATGAAAAGTGCAGGTGAAAATACCTGGTATGATTATTCCATCAGGTCATGGCTAACGATGGGGCGTGATCAAGAACATCGTCCCAGTGGGTCAGAGGGAGGTGATATGGAGCTCTGCCCAGAATCTGACAGCCATAACTGATAACAACATCCAGCTTCTCATCATCACCAGGCAATACACAACCGTGCCACACTGACCCCAACACTGTGGACTGATGGATGAAGTAGAGACACACAGACTTGCACATGCACACACACACACACACAAAAAGAGACGATGTAAGCACACTCAAAATCTGCTTACACAGGCATCGGAGCTCTTGACGCGACCTCCCTTGGCTCGTTTCAGCAAGCGGATCCAGGTGGCCTTCATCAGCCACACTGGTCATTCAGTGTCCTGAGCCGCTGCCCCCCACTGCTACTGCTACAACTACACCTGACTGCACTACTGTGGTCACTTTTGCACCAGTGCTGCAGCGACCGTCACTGCTCTGGCTACAGGTACATTCAACACTGTGGCACCATGGACAGCTGGTTCCTGTTACACCTTGGCTGTAAATGCTACATTCATCTCTGGGTGTATTAATAGCCTTGAAGTTGGGGCTCCTTGTTTTGCTGCAGCTCCAGCTAGCTCTGCTGCTATCTGTAGAGCCACAGCTCCTGATCCTCCTGCTGCTGCTGCCGCTGCCAAAGATGGGGAATCCACAGGAGCTCTCTGCCCCGCGCATAATCTCAGCAGCTCTCTCTCTGTCTGCCCCAGTCTCTTTGAGTGCTCAGACTGCTGCTGCAGGTGCCGAGGCTGACTCCCAGTATGAGTCAGGTGGCAGCGATGCTTCTCAGCCTCTCGCTCAAGCTCTGGCTTCAGCCTCGATCTCCTCCTCCTCCTCCGCTGGTGCCTCCCCGTGCTGCTCCACAAGCGATGGATAACAGCAGTTTGTCTACACGAGTCCTGGTGTGGCTGCCTGTGAGCGACTCTCCCCCTGATGCTAATGAAGCTGCTGCCTCTCAGGTGCTGCAAGCTCCCTCTTTCTCACTCTCTGTGTCTCGTCAGTGCGTGTCCTGCACGCTCTCTCAGTGATTCTGCCTCTCTATCTCTGTCTTTATGCACCCCTCCTTCTCCTCCTCCTCTGTCACTCCCCTCATTTTTTTCCTCAGTTACCCCTCACAGTCAGTCCATCTGCTCAGTGTGTCTCTGCAGTGATGGAATGTGCAAGTGCTATAAGGATACTGTTTACCATTACTGTCCATTGTGCATGCTGTTTGTTCTCTTTACATGTAAGCACACCACAATCACCCTGATGAGCTTTATAGTTGCTAAAACAATAGGTGTCACATTGCCATCTTGTCAGAGGTGAGGAGCTTGTTTACAGCAGCTGCTCACTTTGATCATGCATTATATTAGAGCTGTAACTAATGATTATTCTCATTATTGATTCATGCACTTGCTCTCAAACTTTCCCTTTCAAGCCCTCCTTTGGAAGCTAAAAATAACTCACATCCCCCCTACCCCTGCCTTGTAATATTAATCAGCCAAGAACAACACTGGGGACACTAAAGCAACAAGACAAGGAAAGCTGAAATTTATTTTAATAACATTATCTAGAACTGGATGTTTCTTTCGTATTTCTGAATGGTTGCTGGTGCAAAATTCTCAATAAAACACAACGCAAGGGTTTCCTGCTATACTGACATAAGATTTGACTGTGGTTGCTCAATAAGCATCACCTGAATAAATTTGCAAGTGTATTTTTTTATTACTTGATTGTCTAGTTTGAGTCAAGCAAAACAACTGTATTGTTTGAGTACAGTTTTAAGCAAAAATATTTAAAAAAGAGCTGGTAGCAGCTACTTAAATGTGTGTATTTTCAGATTTATTTTTCTTTAATATCATTGTTGGACAAAAGGAGCATTTTTATTAACAATTGTCTGACATTTTAGGGCAGGAATGATAACGTTAATCAAGAAGTTGATTGACAGAAAATTAATTGCAGACAAATCTGAAAATCTTTTAATAATTTCAGTCAAAATAGCTGGTTTTAGCTTCAACATTAAAATGATTTGCTGCCATACATGATAGAAAACAGAATATTTTGGGTTTTTGTTGATCAGACAAAACTTGTGTGCGACACAAAGAGACACAAAGAAATAAGAACGACATTTACTGTATTATTTTTTTTAAATCATCTCTTCTCCTCTCTGGTCTCAGCTTTAGGGATTCTGAGGTAAAAGCTGCTCTAAATCCTCGCCTGTCAGATCAGTGGTGATTCATTACACGTGAGCGGAGCATCGCAAAGCCACACAGGACAAATGAGAATAATTACGGTATTAATTAAAAATTTCCCATCCTCATAAAAGGAACAGCCAGAGTTAAACCCTGCAGTAGGATTATTTAAAATGTCCCCTTTATTTGCACTGCTCCACTGCTGACGCATGATACTCCTCGTTCTGACCCGCCATGAGGTTGTGTGAGGTCAGAGGAGTCAGGGGTCGGCCCGTGAGACCAGCAGTTGAAATAGGCTTGCTGGTTTATGACCGGCAGTCACTCCCCAAGGAGCACTAACTGTAGATCAAAGGATGACATGCTAATCAGTGGTGCTTATCATAACCAATCAATGACACGCTTCCATCTGCTCAGGGTCTTTTCAACAAGACACATGCACTTAAAAATGACACATCTTACATGAAAGGAAAGGCTGGGGAGGATAATGTGATTTTAGCTCATTAAGACCAATTAGCCTAACGAGGAAGGCGATTATCTGAGGTAGAGTATGTTTTGAACATAGATGGAGGACAGGAAAAAATTATCTTGTCAATCGTAACATCAAACTTCTCTAATCACCTAAGCTACAGCAGCAGGTTAGTAAAGAAAACAGCTCAACAATCCATAGTTATGTGCAACGGTCACATATGTTTCAATAAGGTACACTGACGCCTCCAGAGCTCTCAGGGCGGGGCACAGATGCTCTGAATGTGGAGCTGTGGAGCCTGGAGATGAGTGGTGGGGCTGTGAAGGCTGTACTCTGATAGCAACACTGACAAAGATTCACAGCGACAGAACGAGCCTCCAGCTGCCTGACATGACTGACCTCTAGACCCGCTGCCACACTGATACTGACAGCACTGTGTCACCACACAAAGGCCACTAATAATCTAACAGCAGTATGATACTGCTCAGGTCCGTGAGGAGAGGTGCTCTTTACTTGGGCTCACCAAGTGGACTGAGAATCACAGCTTCATTCAAGGAAGCAGGAATTTGTTCTTTTGGTCAAAGACATGTCTGCACAGGTGTATTTTACAAACCTTGTAAATTGTCTATATGCAGCATGGTCTTCCTGTTAACTTAGTCATGATTCAGAAAAAGCTGAAAGCAAATCTCATCACATTTACCGAACAAAGCGTTGATATGGTCTGTACCTGACTCATGTCAGTCAAATTTTGGCTGGTCATTACGAATATGTGACTATTCGTTCCTCTTTCGTTCACATGAAATGTAAACAAGCCAAGTTAGCCCTTCAAGCTAATGCAAGCTAACTACACTAAGGATGAATCGGAAATGTGCAACAACACTTTTGCCAACACTAGATATCAAAGAAAAGCCAGACACTGTATTGTATTAAGATGCTGTATACTTATAAGCAGAAGGCCGAAGATAACGTTATCTCGGAGCATGACTTAGCAAAGAGTCTCTTCCTCCAGGCAGCTGCCTACATCTCACTCAGTACCAGCCAGCGTAAAAGTGAGGAGCGCTCATTCTGAGGCTAAATCTGGGGTCCAAAACGGTCAGTCAAATGAGGGGTCTCTGACTGATGATTCAAATCCTCAACTTTCAGGGGGCAGCCCTAGCATTAACATCAGACAATTCAGCAAAACCCTGCGTTTCCTTTGAGGGCTGTTGAGACGGCAATTTCTGTTAGACCACCACTTTAGTCCAGACTGAAATATCTCAACAACTTCTAGAGAGATTGAGATGAAATTTAGTAAATGCATGGTACTGACTTGCAAATATTTTTGTTTTTTAATGACATGTCTCAACAATTATCAAATAGACTGCTGTGAAATTTGTTACATATATGCATTTTAAACTTTTCCTGTGGTGCCCACAACAGGTCAAAGTCTTCACTCATATACGAAATGTCTCAACATCTACTAAATTGGCAAAAAATTTGGTACACAGTGATCCTTTAATTTTCCTCCAGCTTCATCATTAGGTTCGAAACAGACATTCATGTTGCCCACAGGATGAATTCTACCAACTGATCTCTTGGCTTTCCATCTAGAACGTTCTTCAGGTCAAAATTTTAACTTGTCCACTTTCATTTGTAACCAAATGAATGCAAAGCACTTTTTGATTTGTGCTAATATTGTGCTAAAACACACTAAACTTAATGGTGATCATGATAGACATTACACCTGCTACATTAAATGTTGCAGCACTACAGTCCCATCCACGACTATGCCCTCTACACCCTTTGCCTTGCCACATAAACAGCTCAGTGCTTCATGCATTGGCGCTGAAAGTTGGCACTGGGCCTAAACAGTGTCCTGCAGAAATGTCCCATATTAATCCTACTACTTACAGGAAATGGGCTGCGAATCTGCACTGGCAACATTAAGAGGCAGAGCAGACAAACAGGAGAGTTGGCTTTCTTCGTGCAATGGTCAGAGAAAGAGAGATGAGGAGGGGAATTGAAAGGGTAATTGTCTTGTGGTCTCTATATTGGTTTTATTGATTCATCTGGACAGAGGTCTTTGCTGTAAGACAACCAATGACCTCTACATGCAGCAGTGGCATGGCGATCATTACCTTAAGACATTAGAAATCACTGTGGCTATTACCACAGGAGGCTGTATATCAGTCACTGCTGCCTTTTGCATCTGAAAAAAAAAACACCTACAGTGGACGAAGCCGTTACACCAAGGAATTTCATTTTTAGCCACTATAGGAGTTCTTCTCTATATGTATCCACTATAAAAATGGAGAGCTGTAGTCATGCAGAAAATAATGGCTGTGCATGTGAGCTATAAAGTGCTCTTATGGTCAAGGAGTCCTTGCCAAGAACGCCTCAGTTTTTCACATCAGTTCTTACACACAGTAAGACTGCTGCTTCTTTCCTTCCACGCAGGCCACACTGAAAACTCACTTACGGCTTGTTTACTGTTGCCAATTTTATTTTCATGCACGTCCACATTAATGTCTCCTCGCCTTGCAGTGCCCCAAATGTTCTCTCACTCTTCTTTCTTCCATTCTCACTTCATATCCCCTTTTTCTGTTTCTTGTTATCCCATACTGACCCCTACTCTGCTGCTCTCATCTCCCGTCTCTCTGGGGATTACAAATGGCGTCCTTGCCTCTATAGTTTCCTTAAGAAGGGAAAGGATGTGCATCACTTGTACTGCAACACAATGAATACCAAGCACTTGTGACTGTAGTGGCTGATGCATGGTATCTCAAAAATCATGCCCGCTCTTGTCACTGTTGTCACTATGTCAAACTGAATGCACAGAATGTCTCCATTCATTTTTTTTGAAGTAACAGAGGTAGATAAGATGGTGCTTACAGTAAACATCATAATTGCTCACGCTATTATCATTGTGAGTATGTCAGGATTGAGCCAAAAGCAAAGCTGTCCCCAAGAATTACTCATGGGTGGGTGAGGGGGGAATAGATTCTTTGCAGTGTTGCAGTCAAGACCACCAACCCCAAGACTAAGTCATGACCAAGACCAGAGTGTATTGAGACTGGACAAGACCAAAACTTAGTGGGGTTAAGACAAGGTCAAGACCAGACTGATGTGAGCTCCTCTGGAGCCTATCCTGGCTGACAGACACATTCACACCTACGGGACCAGCTCCTTGGTCTCCAGCTCCTCACCAATTAAGCTAAGCTGCATGTCTTTGGATGGCAGAAGGTAGCAGGAGTACCCTGAGAAAACCCACACTGACATGGGGAGAACACTTCGCCCAGAGAGGCCACCCCACCCTGGGTTTGAACCAGGAATCCTCTTGCTTTGAGGCGACAATGCCAACCACTGTACCACTTTGCCGCCGTGAGAAATGTCATGATAGAATAATCAAATAG